ACAGAAGTTTTGGAGGAGCAAGATGTGAACTGATGCTCTGACTTTCATGGCAGAGACTGTCAATGTGTAGTTCCCTTGCATCAGACAGTAGGAGAGCAAGCATGTTGATGAAGCGAGATGGGCAGTTAATAGTTTCGGCAGCAAGCAATAATCCTTGTTTATAGGCACCTCACCATTGCTGAGATGTCTCGCCGCCCAGGACTTAGTTGGAAAATTTCTCCTGATATGGAGTAATGTCCCTGATTTATCACCATAGCCCATCTCATTCAGACCCCTATAATATTCTGCTTTCTGAATCCATAACTTATGTGTCTCCTTTCAACTGTGTTGGCAAATCAAGTGCTTTATAGCAGAGAGCTAGGAATTAAGGTGCAGGACCATCCGATCTCAACATTTCCACACTGACAAATCTGAAGCATTTACCGTATTCTACAATTGGGCTGTAGCAGGCAAAATCAATCCGTCTGTCATTGACCACATCCGAGGAAAATGTTCTCTTCAGGCGAGGGCAGCTACCTGAGAGAGATGGGGAGACAGAGAGAGTTAAACAGATCCATGTTTACAGCTTATGGCAGATTGTGAAATGGGACAGATTATTGGGCAAATGAATAGAGTGTGGCAATAACTTAGTATTGTGTGAGATAACGGTGAGTATGCCTATAGTGTCCAGTTGTTGCAGTTGACCAGAAACCAAACTGGTCCAGCCATAATGTGGCTCGGTCAAAGCTTAGCAATCCTACAGTGAGTAACTCACTTCCTGATCCCCAAAGTCTATCCATCATCTTTAAGGCACAACTCAGGAGTGTGATGGAATACTCCCCACTTGCCTGGATGAGTGCAGCTCCAACAACACTCAAGGAACTTGACACCATCCAGGGCAAAGCAACACTCATGTAACATTCAGCTCTTTCACGAATGATGCACAATGGTAGCAGTGTGTGCCATCTACAAGATACATTGCATTAATTCAACAAGGCTCCTCCAACGGCACCTTCCAAACCTACCACATTGAAGATAAGGGCAGCATGGAAATACCAACACCTGCAAGTTCCCCACCAAACCACACACCATACTTGGAAATATCTTGCTATTCCTTCAGCATCACTGGATCAGATTCCAAGGAACTTCCTTCCTGACAGCATTATGATTGCTCTTACTCCCCAAGGACAGCAGCGGTTCAAGAAGACAGCTCACCACCACCTTCTACAGGGCAACTGGGGATGGGCAATAAATGCTGCCCAGACAGTGTTGCCCACATTCCTTGACCAAATTAAAAAATTAAAGTTTTGGACCCAGGCAAAAAGTAGCACTTATTTTAAGAGTAATCCAGATTTCACCTCTGGATACTAGTGTGTGGTGACTGATGGATCTGATAAATCCATTCAAATAATCTAGTTAAAGGTTACCACTGCCCCATGTTCAATTTCTGTCTGAAAGTTATACTCAAATTTCCTGCCACTATCCTTTCAGCTGACACAATCCAGCCAGCAGAGAATTGCTGTGATTTTGGTTTGTCAATCATAGAGTCATAGATTCCTACAGCACGGAAACAGACACTTCAGTCCAACCAGGCCATGCTGACCATAATCCCAAACTAAACTAGCCCATCTGCCTGCTCCTGACCCATATCCCTCCACACCTTTCCAATGCATGTCTTTATCCAAGTCTCTTTCAAATATTATAATTGCGCCCATATCCATCACATCCTCAGGAAGTACATTCCACACATAAACCACCCTCTGTGTAAAAAGCTGGCCCCTCATGTCTTTTTAAATTTCTCTCTTCTCACCTTAAAAATGGACCCCCTAGTCTTGAAATCCCCCATCCTAGGGAAAAGAGACCTACCATTAACCCTATCTATCTATCATGACTTTTTAAACTTCTACAAGGTCTCCTCTCAACCTCCTAAGCTCCAGTGAAAGAAGTCCCAGCCTATCCAACCTTTCTTTATTTCTCAAACCTTCCATACCCAGCAACATCCTGGTACATCTTCTCTGAACCCTCTCCAGCTTAATAATACCCTTCCCACAACAGATCGACTGGAACCAGACACAGTACTCCAGAACAGGCCACACCAATGTCCTGTACAATCTCAACATGACATCTCAACTCCTATACTCAAAAGACTGAACAATGAAGGCAAGCATGTTAAATGCCTTTTTAACCACCCTGTCTATATATGACGTAAACTTCAAGGAATTGTGTCTGGTAACCAGGTTTCTCCTCCATTACACAGTCACTGCCATGTACGATTTTGAGTAACTCTATTAAATGCCCTCATCACCTTCCCTTCTCTGACGGAGAATAATTGCACTTCACCAGTGTCTTTCAGAGAAGCATCATCAAATAATGTAGGCACTGCTACAGCTCAGACAGGACCAGAAGGTTAAACACAGCTGCTAGTCATCATAGAATCCTTGCAGTGTGGGAACAGGCCATTCAGCCCAACACAGCCAGACTGCCCCTCCAAAGACCATCCCACCCAGACCCATTCCCCTACCCCTGCATTTCCCATCTCTAACCCAAACATTCCCTGGACACTACAGGCATGGCCAATTCACCTACCCTGCACATCTTTGGACCGTGGGAGGAAACCGGAGCACCCAGAGGAAACCCACGCAGACACGGGGAGAATGTGCAAGCTCCACACAGACAGTCGCCCGAGGGTGGAATCGAACCCTGGTCGCTGGCGTTATGAGGCAGCAGTGCTAACCTCAGAGCGACTAATCTTTGGATTTTCTCACATAGAAATAGAAACTTACCTTCAGCACATTCACAAACTTCATTCTGGCAGAGCTTTGATACGATGGTGCTTTGCTCTGGAGCATTATAAAATACGGCGCATTTAATACCTGCAACCCAATCAACAAATGACCAGAATTAACTCACTTGCAATACTTGTTTTACTGTTAGCTGCAATGGTCTGACATTCTAAATGCTAATGTCTGCCAATTGTACATGTTTGTTTATTGCAATCATTTAGCCAATATGCAGAAAGTGAATCAGAGATAATTACATTAGAGCCAATTTACTCTCTGCAGTATTGTACTGGCACTGGAGGGGGTGCAGAGGAGATTCACTTGGTTGATTCCGGAGTTGAGAGGGGTGGCTTATGACGAGAGATTGAGTAAACTGGGACTGTACTCATTGGAATTTGGAAGAATGGGGTTGGGGGGGAGTGGTGGTGGCGGTTCATATTATAGAAACATATGAAATAATGAAGGGTGTAGATAAGATAGAAGCAGGGAGGTTGTTTCCACCGGCGGGTGAAACTAGAATGGGGAGGCATAGCCTCAAAACAAGGGGGAGCAGATTTAGGACTGAGTTGAGGAGGAACTTCTTCACCCAAAGGATTGTGAATCTGTGGAATTCCCTGCTCAAGTGAAGCAGCTGAGGCTACCTCATTGAATGTTTTTAAGGCAAAGACAGATTTTTGAACAGTAAAGGAATTAAGGGTTATGGTGAGCAGGTGGGTAAGTGGAGTTGAATCCATGAAAAGATCTGCCATGATAATTGAATGGTGGGGAGGCTCAAGGGGCCAGATGGCCTGCTCCTGCTCTTTATTTCTTATGTTCTTATGTTCTTTCCTGTATGGTTCAAATGTGCCCCTTCCAACTTTTATGTATGTACAGAATATGCCAGATAATAGGGTATAATTGATGCCAGTCAGTGTGCAGTGTGCCCCCTAGTGACAGCTCCAGTTCAAATACAATACTCCACAGATGTTTAGCAATGATTTACTGCAACCTGGTAATCAATAGCCTGGGCATATCTCAGGTTCACTTTTGAAAACTATAAGGGCACAGCACGATAAAAGTTAATGGCAAACTAATTGTAACAGTAATGTACAACTAGTGTGTTTCACTGTTGATGTTACAGAGCCCAGTATGCAAAATGGAATGGTTTTCTCCTGTCTCGTAATCTCTATCCCCAATATCAACCACAAAATGTCACAGTGTCCGCTTCCGCATGTGTCCAGTGCACAGTGAGTAAAAGGGAATGATTCACTCTTGTCTGGTGTTGTACTGTGATGATGCTATGGCTTTAAGAGGTGTGTTTTGTCCTGGTTTCTTTTACTCAGAGATTGGGAGACAGGTGTCAAACAGTCTATTCAACTTGTGAGGACTTGGAGTATTTTTTAAGTTGGAACAATAGAAGCAGCCTGAATGCGCGTGGTCAAGTTCCCACAGCTCCAGGATTTTTAGGTTTAGCTTTTGGCAGTTGTTGCTGGGGTTTCAGCAGGTTTGGAAGGCACTGCATCTCTCCCAGTTGCTACATTCTCTCACTCAGAATTGTTTTGTTAATGCTGTTTCCTCCTGGATTGGAGAACTGCATATGAGACAAGCTGTTTTCTGAATGTGCCAAGGGTGTGCTTATGGGATGTTACTATATTAGCATGGTTACTGTTTCGTGGTAAAATAATCTATTGTTTGGTTACGTTTTCCAATAGAGTTAAGTTATTTCAAGTTCCTTTTTTTTTGTGGCATTTTAACTGTCGTGTTTGAATAAAACGTGTTTTGTTTAACGTCGAGCAGTTTGACCAATCGAATTGCATCTGGAACATAGCACCTCACATTTACTTTTAAAATAAGAAACTGTTAGGGTCTAGGCAACCTTTTCATTATATTTTGAGGGGGTCTGGTCTGATTCATAGCAGTATGACCAGTATGAGTCTTAGTGTCAGCACCTCAGGCTGCACCTTACATGATTTTTGGCTAAATGCATTTAAATTTTTAGAAGGCTTTTTTTTTGCCGTGCAGTCTAGTGAGATTTCTCACTGCCTCTTACCAAACTCACCTCATCAAGCAACACCCATGTTCCTCATGTCCAATTCTAGCCACATCTTCCCATGCGCTGCTGCCAGAAGAACTTGCCACTGCTAGGATATTCCAGGCTTGACCGGCACCCCTGGCACCAGTGCAATCTTTAGATATGAAACTGAATATTAAGGAGGCGAGTTGTGGCTTTTAACAAGCTTTAACACCCCTTCCACGGCAACTCACTGCTGGATAATATGAAACTTGCTTTGCCACTTGACAAAATGTAAAAGATGCAGCAAGATGCTCATGACATTGAGAAAAGCCTTGTGGGGCTCCTCACATAGTTCCACCACTAACTCTCCTTGATATGTTTTGAGGAAGTTTGGACTAGTCCATAACAGTCCACATCACTCAAAGCCTTATTATAGGGTCCACAGTAGGGAAATGAATGTTCCATGTCATGAAACATCAACTCAAGTGAAGACCTTGCTAATATGTATTCAAACTAGAAAATATATTGAGGCAGAGTCTGTACTCACTTGGGTTGTAATAATCGTAAAGTGTTGCACTTGCTGGTTGGATTAATCCAATGGGAATTATTTGCTTAGCACCAAATACAAAACATTCTTTCTGATCTGTAACCTAGATAGGAAGCAATTGACAAAGCAGGTTCACAAAGAGACACATAAAATGCACGCTCCCATGATTTTAAATAGTAATTCAAGATTTAGACACATGAGGAGGTGACTTGCTAATTGAGCCTTCAACTCCATTTAGTCTGATCCCAGATCATTGATAATCCCATTCCCCTACCTTTTAGGAACAGATCCCCTGATATCCTTCCCCAATGAAAAGAAATCCACCTATGTCTTTAAAGGTCCAAATATCTACATGTCTGTTGTCTTCAGCGGGAAACATTCAGCCATCCACCACACTACGTGTGATAAATTACTTTCTGATTTGATTCCTGAAAGGTTTAGCTCAAACTTGAAGAATAAAATGTCACTTTGCACTTGGCTCCCCCACTACACAAAATAATATCTTCCTCTCTATTGTTCCTGCAATAGACTAAAAGCTCAAATATTATTTTTGATGGAACAATAGAGGACAATTCCATCAACATTATTCACAGTGGCCATCATAGCATTGCTGGTGTATAAACTCATGATTCATAAAGCCTCTGTAGTAATGTGCTGACATCTTTCATTTGAAATTCAGTTGTAGATGAAAGCTCCATTTGGTTTGAGGTGAACAGGCCAAGAGGTCACTAAGCTATGGTACTTTGACCCAAACATTCAATTCTGATAGCAAAGAGAGAACGAGCATACATAACATAATTGGCAAACCATGACATTACCGTGTCCAGATAGAGGAGCATCCTCCCATCTTTGAACTCATACGAATCGATGTACCTGTCGGTGAGGTCTTTCAACTGGAAAGAAACATATTTCCAATTACCACCATTACAAACACATCCACTCCTGATTGATATGGACACTTTTTATGCCATGCATTCTAATAAAGGGATGCCACAATATAGTTTTTGGGTCCACGTGATTGCAACAAGAGGAAACTCTTCATCTGGGAAAGAATATTTAAATTCACTTTGGCCCTCGTATACAAATGTTCATGACAGTTAATGATCAGCCCTGTTCATCAACGCAAATTGGAAAGTGGAGATACCAAAGAAGGAGCTGCAATAGCTGGGGCTGAGCAGAACCATTTGGGAAACTGACGTGGCCTAATAGTGGAACTGAGCATTGCAAAGAATGTCACCATTGTGTCTCTGTCCAGTAGTTGGCCAAGGAAAATTAGTCACATTCCTTATCATACCTTTATGCTATCTCCATTAATTGGAAGTCAGTTCTGATTTAACAACTATTTATGATTTGCACCATCATCTTTTATTGAGTTTAGTCAATCTTTGAGATACGCAGTGCCACTAAGTAGCAGATGTACATACAGATAGAAAAGACAGGGCTGAGTCGTCCCACATTTAAGCAGATTGTCATTTTCATCGAGTTTCATGCAGGGTTTCTCCCCTCAAGGCCAAACCAGGTTCCTCATGCAATCGTCCCAAACTCATGGGGAGGCATGGTGGCTCAGTGGTTAGCACTGCTGCCTCATAGCACCAGGGACCCAGGTTTGGTTCCAGCCTCCGGTGACTGCCTGGTAGAGTTTGCACATTCTCCCTGTGTATGTGTGGCTTTCTTCCCCCAGTCCAAAGATGTGTAGGTGGACTGAACTGTGGGGAAATGCAGGGTTACGGGGATAGGGTCTCAGTCTGTAAAACACTTCATGGCTTGTGGCATTTTCCCCAGACACAACAGGTAAGGGGAAATTATGAATGCAGCTATATCTCTTTTTTTGTTAAATGAGTTAACCATTGCACGTCAATAACCTGCTCGCTGATGTTTAATTTGCATCTTGCCTGGATCTCTCAGTGGGCAAAAAGGCTGGACTCCAGCAGTGAGAGTGACTGTGAACTGTAGCATCATGGAGCCTCTCATAATTGAAGTCAACAGGACTCATTGGGTTACAACCAGTACAAAAGGGAGATGGTTGTTGTTGGGGATCAATCACCTCAGATTCAGGGATACAGAAACATAGGACCAGGGCTGAGCCATTCAATCTCTGTTCTAGCATTGTAGATCATGGCCGATTATCTATTTCAATGACATTCTGAGATCTCCATCTCCAGAAATCTATTGATTTCCAGCCCGAGCTTCCACAGTATCCTTTGACCAAGATTCACTACCCTCTGAGTGAAGAAATTCATCCTCATCTCCGTCTTAATTGGCCTACTTCTTAGTTTGAAGCTGTGGTCCCTGGCTCTTGGCTTACCACCCCAAGGGAAACGTTCTATCTATATCCAGCCTGACATGCCCTGTTAGAACTTTGTGAGTTTCAATAAGATCGTCTCTCTAGAGTGTACAGGCCCAGCTTCTTCAATCTCTCCTTACAAGGCTTAGAAATTAATCTGTTAAATCTATGCCGATCTATGGTTACTGCATCCTCCCTCAGACAATGGGACCAAAGCTGAACACATTACTCCAGGTGGTCTCACCAAAAGTTCCAATGTAATTGCACAAAGATATCTTTACTCCTGTACTCAAACCCCTTCCTCAGGACAGTGTCATATGCCAAACTATATTCATCTGCTTTATCAGTGACTACTCTACCATTGCAGAAACATAGAAACCTAGAGGATTGGAACAGGAGAAGGCATTTGACCTCTACAGCCTGTTCCGCCATTCAATATGATCATGGCTGATCATTGAACTCAATGCCATCATCCCATTCTCCTTGATCCATTTTGCCACAAAGGCTTTTTCTACTTCTATCTTGGAAACACATAACGTTTTGGCCTCAAACACTTTTTGTAGTAGTGAATTACACAGTCTCTCTAAGTGATGTAATTTCTCATCTTAGTCCCAAAACGTTTACCCCTTAACCTTAAACTGTGACTAGACTGTCCCATCATTGGGACATCCTTCCTGCCTATAACTTGTCTAATCCTTTTCGCATTTCATAGGTTTCTACGAGATTCCCCCTTCATTCTTCCCAACTCCAGTGAATACAACCTAACTGACTCAATTTCTCAACACGTCAGTCCTGTCATCCCAGGAATCAATTTGATAAACCTTTGCTGCACTCCTATAGAAAGAAGATCCTTCCTCAGGTAAGGAGAACAAAACTGCACTTAATATTCCAGGTGTGGGCTTACCAATTCCCTGATAATTTCATGATGTAGAAGGGTGTTGGACTGGGGTGGACAAGGTCAGGAATCACACGACACCAGGTTGTAGTCCAACAGGTTTATTTGAAATCACAAGCTTTTGTAACACTGCTCCTTCGTCAGATGAAGTCCTGGCGATCTGACGAAGGAGCAGCACTCCGAAAGCTTGTGATTTCAAGTAAACCTGTTGGACTATACCCTGGTGTAGTGTGATTCCTGAGCTGATAATTGCAGCAAGACATCTTGCTCCTGGACTTGAATTCTCTCACTATGAAGGCCATGATTCAGTTTGACTTCTTTACTACCTGCTGCACCTGCATGCTTATTTTCAGTGACTGGTACACAAGGACATCCAGGTCTCACTGAACATTCTCCCCTTTCAATTTACAAACATTCAAATAATAATCTGCCTTCCTAATTTTGCTACCAAAGTAAATAATCTCACATTTACCACATTATACTTCATCCACCATGCATTTGTCAACTCACGAAGCCTGTTCCAAATCATACTGCAACATCTCTGCATCCTCCTCACAGCTCACCCTTCCCACCTAGCTTTGTGTCATCTGCAAATTTTGAGATAATATATTTAGTTCCCTCATCTAAATCATTAACATATATTATGAATAACTGGGGTCCTAGTACAAATCCCTGTGACACCCTACTAATCACTGCCTGCCATTCAGAAACAAACCTCTTATTCCTACCCTTTGTTCTCTGTGTGCTAACCAATTTTCAATCCATCTCAATACATTATCCTCAATTCCATGTGCTTTAATTTTACACATTAATCTCTTATGTGGGACTTTGTCAAAAGCCCTTTTGAAAATCCAAATAAACTACATTCACTGGCTCTTCCTAATCAATTCTGCCAGTTACATCCTTGAAGAATTCTGATAGATTTGTCAAGCATGATTTCCCTCTTGTGACTGTATCTAATTCTACCACGGTTTTCTAATTGCTCCACTATAAATTCCTTGATAATTGACTCTAGCATTGCTCCCACGACAGACATCAGAATCACTGGTCTATAATTCCCTCATTTCTTTCTGCCATCCTTTTTAAATAGTGGGATTACATTAGCTACCCTCCAATCTGTAAGAGCTGTTCCCAGAGTCTAAAGAATCTTGGAAGATGACCACTAAGATATCCACTATATCTAGGGATATTCCCTTAAGTAGTCTGGGATGTCGATTATCAGGCCTTGGGGATTTATCAGCCTTCAACCCTGTCAATTTCTCCAAAACTATTCAATAATACAGATATGCTTCAGTTCCTCCCTCTTCCTAAATCCTGTCTTCTCCATCATTTCTGGTATATTATTTGTGTCCTCCTTTGTGAAGACAGAAGTGAAGTATGAATTTGGTTTGACAGCTATTTCTTTGCTCCCTGTTACAAATTCCCCTGTTTCTGACTGTAAAGGGCCTACATTTTTGTTCCCTTCTCATACCTTTTGAAATGTTTACAGTCAGCTCTTAAGTTCACCACGAGCTTATACTCTATTTTCCCCTGATTAATCAATACTTTTGGCCTTTTTTGATGACTTCTAAATGTTCCCAATTCTGTAGTTTGTTTTTCTTTCCAATTTGTCTGCCTCATGTTTGCATCTAATATTATTTCTAACTCCCCTCATAAGCCATGGTTTGGCCACTGTTCTCTTCGCACTCATGCTCATGAGAGGAATAAAATTTTTGTGTTGTTTGCCCATTCACTTTTGGAATGTTTGCAATAGTCTTTCCACTGTCATTCCTTTCAGTAACATTTCTCAATCCAGCGTAACCAACTCACACCTCACACCATCGTAGTTTCATTTATTAAGATTCAGGACATTAATCTCAGAATTAACTACTTCCCTTTCCATCTGGATGAAAGAGTCTATCATATTATGGTCACCATCCTGAAGGGGTCTCTCACAACAATAATTACCAATTATTCCTTTCTCGTTGTATTATACCCAGTCTAACATGTTCTGTTTTCTAGTTATTTCCTTTGCTTTGGTCCAAAAAATGATCCTGTATACACTTTAGGAATTCCTCCTTCAATGTATTGACTAATTTGATTCTATATGTAGATTAAAGTCACCCATAATTACACATTTTCCATTACATTTTGATGGTCTACGTACAACCCCACTTTTATGTTTTTTTTTGCCTCTTGGTATTTCTTAATTCTACCCACACAGATTCAACATTATGCGAGCCCTAGTATCTTTCCTCAATATCATGTTGATATCCTTTTTAACCAAAATGCAACACTTTTCCACTTCTGTCCTAAATACTGAATTTCCCTGGGTATCAGTTCCCATCCCTGGTCACCCCTGCAGCCATGTCTGCATAATCCCAACTATATCATACCCATTCATATCTATTTGCATGATTAATTCATTACTTTATTTTGAATGCTCCATGTATTCAGACATGAAGCTTTAAGGCTTGTCTTTTTTTACATTCCTTGTCCCATTCCCACTTTTTAATTTCCTTTATTCATGGGATGAGGGCGTCACTGGCCCATCCTCTAATTGCCCAGCAGGCAGTTCAGAGTCAACCACATTGCTGTGAGTCTGGAGTCACATGTAGGCCAGACCACGTAAGGATGGCAGTTTCCTTCTCTAAAGGATATTAGTGAACCATGTGGGTTTTTCCCTGACAATAAACAATGGATTGTTATGGTCATCATTAGACTGCTAATTCCAGATATTTATTGAATTCAAATTCCACCATCTGCTGTGGCTGGATTGGAACCCAGGTCCCCAGAACATTATCTGGGTCTCTGGATTAACAATCTGGTGATAATACCACTAGGCCATTGCCTCCCCGCAATATAGACTTGCTTGATTCTAACCCTTGATCCCTTTGTCAATCACTTCTCTTACTCCCCTTTCTGTCATTTGTCATTGCTTCCTGTGATGCCTTGCTGCCAATTTAGTTTAAACCCTCCCCAACCACTATAAAGTTGGAAGTGGAGATGTTCATTGATGACTGTGTAGGGTCCAGCTCTATTTGCAATTTGTGTGTAATGCAGCAATTTGTGTCCATCTGGAGAAGGACCGCTAAGTCTTGCATTGATAAATGGCAGGGCATATTCTTGCCACACCATTGACAGGAAAAGGCCTATCTTCGAAAGCAAGATGTCTGTCAGCTTAATTGAACTCACTGCCCGATTGCAAGCCCACTCTAGCATTGGAACAATTCTAATGTCTCCACAAAACAATAAGAAATTTACAATCTTTATCCCAGTTATTATTTCAGAGATTTTTTTTTTCCCCTGAAGATACGGTCATTTTTAAAGCCTAATTTGATTTCATGATTCCATAAGAAAAATGCACTGTTTTGTCTCGACAAGTTAATAATTCCAATTGTTATTCAACAAGCAATAACCTTGAGAAGACAAAAAAGCCTAACCTTATCCAAATCTGCATTTTTTGGCTCAAAACCACTGAGCATTGAGATGTCCACAATAGCCATTCCAGGGGCTCTCTGTCTGTTCTCACCATCCGGCTCATGCCTTTGTGAAAGAAAACAAATATTTCAAATCACACCAATGTAAACAGTTAGCTCCCAGTATACTGAAAGTAAGGTGAATACACGGTTTCATTTTAATGTGAGCATTGTTGAAGTATTTCTTTTTCATTCATTCATGGGATGAATGCATCACTGGCTAGGTCAGCATTCATTGCTCATCCCTAATTGCCCAGAGGGCAGTTTAGAGTCAATCACATTGTGGTGGGTCTGGAGTCACATGTAGGCCAGACTAGACTGTAGTGATTGTAACGAGATCAGCTAGGTTAACCTCATAGAATATTGGTTCCCTGATTGTGGCTGTTAATCTGGTCCAATCAGGGAGCCCTGGCTGACAGATAGAAACAGGAGCGTCAGAGGTTCTGTTCACTCTAGGAACCAGCTCTGATAGAGCTGGATCAGCGTCAAGGACCCTGCACGTTTAAATAAAGGGTGACTTGGTGATGGGATACCGACCTCTGTGGAGTTATTTCACAGTCAGATAAGGATGGCAGCTTCCTTCTCCAAAAGGACATTACTGAACCAGATGTCAAAAACTAACAATGCATTTGTGCTAATCATTAGATTTTTACTTTCAGTTTTTTTAGTGAATTCAAATGCCACCATCTGCTGTGACAGGATTTGAACCTGGATCCCCAGAACTTTCCCTTGGATCAACAGTCCAGCAAATGTACCACTAGGCTGTCACCTCCCCTTAATAAGTAAAAGTGTACAAAAACAGAAGTTGTTGGAAAAGCTCAGCAGGTCTGGCAGCATCTGTGAAGAAAAAGCCTGAGTTAATGTTTCGGGTCCAGTCACCCTTCCTCAGAACAAGTAAAAGTGTACATTGCCACAGCAATCTGGGCTCCTTCTTTGGTAAACTCAGTTGGCTGGTATGGATCAAATCGGTGCCAACAACATGAGGCTCAATCCCCATTTTGGCTGGAGTGGATCCGAACCTTACCTCCTTTCCATACCCCTGATGGGTACATAGCTCAAAAAGGTGAAAAGGCGCGGAGGTAAGATTGGCAGCTTGCTTTACAGTCAGTTCAAGAGAAAAGACATTTGGATACACGGTCATTCAACCACCGTCCAGCTGCCCACCCCCACCATCCATTTGTGGTTTCATCACAGCCTACATTGTGTGACAGAGATCTGGAGTCACACGTAGGCCAGACCAGGTAAGGATGGCAATTTCCCTTTTCAAAGGACAAGAGTGAACCAGACGTGGTTTTTCCTGACAATTGATACATTATTAGATCCTTAATATTAGGTTTTATTTTAATTCAAATGCCACCATCTGCCATGATAGGATTTGAACCCAAATCTCCAGCACATTACCTGGGTCTCTGGATTAACAGTCCCCAGTGATAATACCACTAGGTCTTCACATTCCCAGACAAGCAAGTATCTGTTGGTGTTATTTGATTATGGATGCTTATCATTCCAAACATTAATAAATTGTTTAAAGTGAATGCCTTGACTGTGGTTGGAGCTGCCATCATCCAGGCAAGTGGAGAGCATTGTGTCACACTCCTGTACTGGTGGCTGCACACACACCAAGAGGCACAAGCTAATGTTTTGGGGATGGGCGTTCAGAATCATGTCACAGGAGCCAAAAAAGTTTAAATTCGATTTTTAAAATATGGAATTGAGAGCTAGTCTCTGGAATGGTGACCGTGGCAACCAACTGATTCACTTGTATCCTTTAGGGAAGGAAATCTGATGTTCTTTATCGAGTTTGGCTCCAGTGGGAGTTCAGATTTGCAAGAATGTGGCTGGCTCTTTACTGCCTGCTGAAATGATTTTGCAAGTCACTTAATCCAAGGGCCATTAAAAATGGGCAACGAACACTGGCGTTGCCATAGATACTACATTCCATAGAAAAATATCCATTAAAACAGACTTGTGCTTTGTCGGTGATGGGCTGAGGGTTGCAAGGTAATTTGCTCACTGCAGAATTTCCAGACTCTGCTCTTCCCTTGCATCACTAAATAGTATGAATAATTAATTCAAAATGGTATCTGCAATATCTGTAATGTTCTTACAGAAATGCAACTGTTATTAGAGTCAGGGTCAATTCATGCAAACTACGTTTCTTTTCGTACAAGATCAGATTTGATTTTGACGACAGCAGTGAGCAACAGGACTCATCATTGACCTTAAAGAAAGCTATACATTGAGGTCTAGTGACCTTGTGATGTGGGTTACTTCCTTTCCTGATGATTGTTTAAAAATGACACAAAGTCAAGGGGATGCCTTGATATCTATGATGAGGGAAGCAATGTAAGTAAACTGAAGGATTCTTACACATTATACCAAGAAGTTACAAACACTCACTATCCTTCAATTTTAATTTAAATATTCAGACTATGAAGCAAACCATTTTTAGCTGGAATTAGATAAAAGCAAGAATACCGACTAAGATTCGAGAAGGTTTGTGCAAAATTCATGCAATTGTGACATCAATAAAATTAGCCTTTTGGCACCAGTAAGATTTGCAGCAAGAAATGAACATTCAAGCTATATCTTGTTCACCATTCTCATTTTCTCCAAGTATTTGATTTCCTGTAAGTGAGAACCTTCACATCAATATCATGGCACACCGAGGATGCCTCTACCACATATTTACTGGAGACATGTCACATCACTAACAACAGGTACTGGATTTCTGATTCCGGGGATGGCAGCACTTACGTATGAGGAGAGATTGGGTCGATTAGGATTGTGCTCACTGGAGTCGAGAAGAATGGGGGTGGGGGGGGGGGGGGGGGCGAGGGGTTCCTATAGAAACCTATAAAATTCTAATAGGACCAAACAAGTTAGATTCAGGAAGGATGCTCCCGATGGTCAGGGGAGCCCAGAAGAAGATGTCATAGTTTAAGGATAAGGCATAAACGTCTTAGGATTGAGATGAGAAGAAATTTCTTCACCCAGAGAGCAGTGAGCCTGTGGAATTCACTACCAGGTTCATAGTTCCTTGAAAGTGGAATCGCAGGTAGACAGGGTAATGAAGATGATGTTTGGTACATTTGCCTTTATTGGTCAGTGCATTGAGTACAAGGATTGGGATGTCATGTTGCAACTGCACAGGACATTGGTTGAGCCACTCTTGGAACACTGCGTTCAATTCTGGGCCTATTTTCCCTCGGAGTTTAGAAAATCATGAGGGACATAGAAAGAGTGAAATGTTTTCTCCAAGGTAGGGAGTCCAAATCTAGAGGGCATAGATTTAAGGTGAGAGGAGAAAGATTTAAAAGGGACCTAGGGGCAACTTTTTCACACAGAGGATGATGGAATGGAATGAGCTGCCAGAGGAAGTGGTGGAGTCTGGTAAAACTAAAAGGCATCTGGGTGGGTACATCAAAGGAAGGGTTTAGAGGGATATGGGCCAAATGCTGGCAAATGGGACAGGATTAATTTAGGATATCTGGTCAACATGGACGAGTTGGACTGAAGGGTCTGTTTCCATGCTGTACATCTCCATGACTCTATGAGCACAGGACATTGTTGACATTAAAAACATTATGTGTTTTAAAGAAGGAAGTAGATATAGCACTTGTGGCTAAAAGAATCAAGGGAGGGGGCGAGGTTAGGGTATTGAGCTTGACTATCATAACGAGTGGTGGATGAAAACCGAAAGAACTGTGGATGCTGTAAATCAGGAACAAAAACAGAAGTTGCTGGAAAAGCTCAGCAGGTCTGGCAGCATCTGTGAAGAAAAAAATCAGAGTTAACGTTTCAGGTCTGGTGACCCTTTCTCAGAACTCAGTTAAACGTTAACTCTGTCTTTTCTTTACAGATGCTGCCAGACCTGCTGAGCTTTTCCAGCAACTTCTGTTTTTTTGTTCCTGATAACGAATGGTGGAGAAGGTTCAAGGGGGCCGGGTGGCCTACTCCTGCTTAAGTGCATGCTCCAAAAGTTACACTGCGTTTCAGTGAGAGTAACAAAAATAATCATTGACAGTTTCACAGGACAACTGCAAATACCACAAATTAGGACTGATTTCTGCAGAGGTTATTAGCACTGACCAAACGCAGACTTCGTAATAAAGAATTGAGGCTGCATCATCAATTGGAACATCCCTCTTTCTCCGTGAACGTAGATCAAACCAGTTAATCCCATCCATGGGCTGGTCTGCTGCCATTGGCTCGCCATATTCTCCATAGTCAGGGTAATCTGAATCTCCTGCAAGAATTGAAAATTTTAGCATCATTCCACTCCTTTATTGCATTCAGCAGTAATCAACTGGTCCTGTTCAATGGAACATGGCAAGGAATGACTTGGGAGCAGGACAAGGTGATTTGGCCCGTCAGCCCTGCTCCACTATTTGATAAAATCATGGATAATCTGGTTGTGGTCTCAACTCTACTCCTGGTAACGTTTCACTTTCTGCTTGATCAAAAATCTATCTAACTCAGCCTTGAATACAGCCAATAGCCGAGCCTCTACTACTTTCTGGTGAAGAGAATCCCAAGATCAGGAAACTCACCATGTTACTGGTTTATAAATTCCCACCTTCTTTGACTATGTTTTGTTAAATTGATGCATGAGTTGGGCACTTGCATTGTTTTGAGTCTAAAACAGCATCTGCACAATTCTACACGTCACATAATGACTGACACAGAAGCACGAACACCCACCCCTCTGGGAAGCAAGGGAACATCCTTTACAAATGTAGCTTTAATTAAAATGATGATGCAATATTGCTCAGCATTTGCTAATCTTCAAATGTGCTTTTGAATCGAAGAAATTTAACTTCTCTGCACCTTAGTGAGTTTATCATGCCTTTGCAAGTTCTCACTAACTTAGTGGTTGGTGCAGTTGTAGATTTCACAATGACAGGACAGGACAGTAAAATTGAAGGAAACACGACAGATGGCAATAAAAGTGATGAATTGCTTTGGGAGGCCTATTATAGATAAGCTATAGTATGAATAGAATGACTTTGAAAAATGGTAAATAAGCAAAAAGACATTGATATTCACAGACACAAACCATTATTGATGGCTGGATAAGTTGATAGGGTGGTTAAATTAAAAGAAAACGGCGACATGACTTTAAAAGAAAGCTGTAGAAAATAAAACCCAGAAGACCACATTAGAGATTTATAAAACATTGGTTAAGCATTGGTTGAAGTAACATGGGGAATTCCACACAGCAAGCAATTGGGAAATTTGATTGAATGCAATATTGAGGTGAGTTGGTTGCAAGAGTAGGGAGGTTATGCTTCAGTGAGATAGGGCTTTGGAGAGACTGCAAACAAAGATACAGAAAGTGCTGGAAAAACTCAGCGGGTCCATGGAGACAGAACCAGGGTTAATGTGTTGAGTGTTAGAAAAACTGAAAGGTGTTTGAAAATACATTCTTATCACCGAGGCAGAGGAGGAGCAAGAGGGAAGATGGTGTCGAGATCCAGTGCAAAGGACAAATTGGGTTGTAAATACTGGAGAAAGAAAAGAGATGTAAAGTGGGTGAAAGTTAAGGTGTGAAAGGGAGTGAATTCATCCTCTATTAAGTGCAAAGCAGATAAGACACAGACATGACAAAGCTGTTGGTGGGTTAGGGAGGAGATGGCATACAAGGAAAAGTGAAGAACATTGGTCAGATTTCCACCATGAGCAGCATTTTGCTTTCCTTGGTAAGACTGCATCTGGAGTACTGTGGTATAATACAAGTCACCATCCTTAAGGAAGGATATTCTTGCACTGGAAGCACTTTAGAAAGGTTTACTGGACTAATGCATGGAACGAGCAAATAGCCTTTTGAGCAAAGGCTAGCAGACCAGGAATGTCTCCTCTGGAGTTTAGAAGAGTCATAGGTGACTTAATTCAAACATATAGATCCTGAGCAGCCTTGACCAAGTTGACGTTGAAAGGACGTTTCTTCGTGAGGGAGAATCTGGAGGCAGGGTCGATAGTTTGAAAATAAGGAGTCACCTATTTAAGACAGAGCTGAGGCAAAATATTCTTTCGGAGCTTTACACTGGAATTCCCTTTCTTAAATGAATTTCTTAAATAAAATATTTTTAAGGCAGACTGGATAGGTTCTTGATGACCAAAGGGATGAAAGATTATCGGATTTGAGGTTAAAATCAGATTATCCATGATCTAAGTGAATGGCGAAGCAGGGTCAACGGGCCGAATGGATCCCCTTGTTCCTTGCTTGTATATTTGTATACATGTAATTTTGGGCACTAAACTACAGGTAAGATGTAAAAGCTTTTGATAGGGAGCGGAGGAGGTCTGTTAAGGACAAGGGATGATGAATTTAAGTCATTGGGAAAAGATTGAGATTGGAGATAAAAGAGTTTTTATTCAATGATTCATCTGAATGCTATTGTCCTGAGAAGATATTGGAAGAAAATTTCGTGAACAAATGTGAAAGTCATTTGTAAAAATCATGAAGATGAGGAACTTACAAGATCACAAATAAAAGGTAGGATCTGGGCCTCCTTCTGCCTGGTCTTTCACAGTGCCAGCACAGATAGGGTGGTCCAAAAGCAACCTTGTGCTGTAGCTTTCTGCCATTCCATAATCCAAGTACATCATGGAACTAGCCAATACTCACCTTCATATTCCACTTTGCCCTTAACTGTAACCTCAAGTCTGAAATAATCACAGGTGTCCTTGGGTTCCTCCAGAAGTTGGTACGTTTTCAGAATCTAACATTTTTTGGAAAGAAAAACAAAATCTTGGTTAAAACAAAGAATTTGACAAGGAATGAGGGTAATGGCGATGTTTGAGAAACCAAGCTTCGGGTTAGGGTTAGAATTAGTTAGGACTTCTAAGAAAGTAGGAAACAATTATTTAGCCAGAATATTTTAGGGACACTGCGCAAAACAAAAACATGATGAGTACTGGTATGATTGCTGGAACATGCATAGAACTGATGAGAATACCAACAAGATGGTACCATACTGCATTTAAGAGGCATCTGGATGGGTACATGAACAGGAAGGGTTTAGAGGGACATGGGCCAAATGCTGGCAAATGGAACTGGATTAATTTAGGATATCTGGTCAGCATGGACGAGTTGGGCCAAAGGGTCTGTTTCTGTGCTGTATAACTCTAAGGTGGGAAGGTCTGTTTGAAAGTTCATCACCAACTTAATATTGAAAAGACGTACAAATAAGGAAATCAAAGATCGTAAGGACTTGGAAGGTGCAAACTGATATAACTGAATCCTTATTCTATTGAATTGTGTTCCTTTATTTAAGTTCCTTACTCATAACACATATATTTTCTTGTTTCTCGGTGTCTGTGTGGAACTGTGTACAAGTGTTTAAGAAGGAGCTGAAGTCTAAGTTAGTAGAGATAAAAGTTGATCATTCATATTTTGTTTGCTTGTGGCTAGAATTGATAATAGAATCATAGAATCCCTACAGTCAAGCCATTCAACCCATACCAACCCTCTGAACAGCATCCCACCTAGACCAACGCCATCCCTGTACTTCCCATGGCTAACTCACCTAGCCTGCGCATCCCTGGACACTATGTGCAATTTTGCATGGCCAATCCACCCAACCTGCACATTATTACCCTGTGGGAGGAAACCAGAGCACCCAGAGGAAACACACATAGATATGGGAGAATGTGCAAACTCCACCCAAGTGTTGGAATCAGACCCGGATCCCTGGCACTGTGAGGCAGCAGTGCTAACCATTGTGAAAACATGACGTCCCTTATATTTTCTTGTTTCTTGGTGTCTACGTGAAATTGCGTATAGGGGTTTAAGAAGGGGTTCAAGCCTAAGTTCATTCATTTTTTGCTTGTTTGTGGTTAGAACTGAAAATGGAATCCCTACAGTGTGGAAGCAGGCCATTTGTCCCATCGAGTTACAGTAACAGTTCTTGTTAGGTACAGAAACATGATTAGCTAACCTGAACTGATCTGATTGGTAAATTGGAAACTTTGAGTAACTTGTGTGAATCTATAACTTTACTGACAATGCTTGTGGGGCTCAAGTTATCAGTGTGCTTTTCCAAGTGGGTCATTACAGATTTTTTTTACCCTGCCTTCTCTTCTCTAAAGAGATTAGACCCAGACTGTTCAATCTCTCTTGATAGTTATTATCCTTTTACTCTAGCACACTGCTTGCAATTTTTTTTCCTTGGAGCGACTCCAGTGTTTCTATAGCTGGGCAATATGGAGTAAGGACTGCATTCAGTGCATGTGTTGGGGCAGGAGTTGGGGGCCTATGAACTGTGATCATATGGTGGGTTGCAGGACACAGTTTAAATTAAAGAGAGATGGTACCATTTAGAAATTTGGGTAATAGACTTGTCTTTGATTAACAACAGAGATAGAAATAGCAGACGTTTATTGAATATAACATGCCCGCAGCTTAAGAATATGGGAGTGTAGGAAACTAGGAAATAGGAGCAGGGGAAGGCTTTTTGACCATCAAACCTACTCCCTCATTTAATTAGAAGGATTATCTGCCTTAATTCCATTTTCCCGCAATGTCCCTGATTTCCTCAGTATCTTTAATATCGAGAAATCTCTTCATCTCTATCTTGAGTGACTCAAAGACTCACCCTCGGAATGAAGAAGTCCACCCTCAGCTCAATCCAAAATGGTCTGTCCCCCATATTGAGACTGTGTCCCTTGGTTCCTGCCCCCCCACCACCTCCCAAAAACACCCCCAGGCTGGATGAAACATCCTTGTCTTGTTATATTTGCCGAACCTGATGAGTGTTTTGTCTGGCATAACCCGTTGTTTCTGGATTATCTTTGGCAACAGTCTTTCTGTGTTGTTCAGGGTGGCACAGCTCAAAAAAATACATTAAAGATACACCGTTTACGTATTTATTTAAATATTTTAACAAAAAATATGTCTACTCACAGTGAGTGTTCCATTCCCTCTGCCTGACAGCTTCACATTAATGTTTTCTCCCAGGGGGAACTATGACAAGACATAACAAATTGTGTGTTATGGATGATAGCGCTGTTTCTAGTTCACAAACCAGGTCTTTGAATACTGGTCTCTCATCCAGCTCAAGGTTGTGTTCATGTAACTGTCTGATCAGTGTTCTGAGGGGGCTATTGCCATCTACCACATAAATCATCTGATTACTTGACCAGATTTAGACCTGCACTGAACTGCCCAGCATGAACTGCTCGGGATGCTGAAAACAGACCTGGACCAGGAGGCCAAAACAGGCAAAATCACATTCATCATTGGTTATATGCACTGGCCCAAAACTCATTCTGAATAACTTCAAAAGCAATGCATGCCAGAAGTATGTCATAACACTGGGATTCAGCCTATTCTGCTCATCCTCCCATGTCCAATTTCACCTCCACTATCCTTCCTGACCCAATTTGTGATGAATACCAGCTTTCCTGTTAGGCAATTTCCAAGTGAGAAATATATCAGCAAACCCCACCAATCACCGGCCCAGCCCCCCAAACCCACCCCCCTGCTGAACCATGTCTGAAAACCAAATACCTGTATTAAATTCAGCTCTGAGCAAGATCAGTGCGTCTGCAATTTGTAAACTAACTTTAGAATGCACATTTTGTTAAGTATTGTCAATATATTCACACGTTATGCAAATAGATGCAATGCACCATTCATTTCATTTGAAATCCCTTAAACATAGAATTGCCTTTTGATTCAATTCTTACCTTTAGATGCTCCTGAACCAGAGCATTTTTCCCCTGTATTGTAACTTTCTCTGTACCACTTCGACTAGGGCTGCTGAATGTGAATGTAATATCTATTTCTTCTGGTTGATAGGTTGCAACACTGTATTCTGCCAGAGCTTCCAGGGCTAACACTGTGTCCTTTCAACAGAAAGAAAATGAGGGTTAACTTTATTGCAATATATTCGTTAGCAATTGATGGGTAGACATGTGCTGATTGAATGATATGACTGTTCTTGTTTGTTTCATGTGCAGAAACAAAGTATATAATCATTTCTGTGTTTTGCCAGCCCACCCAGTGATTTATGGATAAAGGGGCTCCCTTTCAGACAAACCTCTGACAAGAACTTTCCTCATGTTAAATCCTTGAGATGGTAGCAATGTATTAAAAAGTCTGGAACACTAACCCAGAAGCCCAGGAGTTGGTGGAATTTAAATTAAATTAATAAAATATGTGATTGAAAAGTCATAGTGCTGGCTGTATAATTATTATTGATTGAGATGCTATGACCAGACATGTCAGATGTCTGACCGAAATACAACAATAGATCATATTTTAGAGATAGTAGGAACTGCAGATGCTGGAGAATCCGAGACAACAAGGTGCAGAGCTGGATGAACACAGCAGGCCAAGCAACATCATAGGAGCAGAAAGGCTGACGTTTCGGGCCTAGACCCTTCATATTTTAGTTTGCTTTTAAAGAGTTGGTCTTTCACTCTGAGAGAGGCATGCAATGTTGTAGATTTTGATATAGAAATAAAGGATTTATTCACAAAAACGATAAAATAGAATCAGCCAATCTACTTACGTTTAACACAGATTGAAAGAGTTGTAAACACACAGTAAAAACATTATCCCATGAGATTAAAACATTCCTTAACAAGTTCAAAAACAATCCAACTGTTCATCTCTGTCTTTGGGCTTGATCTCCACCTGTCATTTACTCCTTACTCCCTCCTTATCTTCTGCATAAAACCAACATTTTCCTAGCTACCATCAGTTCTGAGGAAAGGTCACTCAACCTGAAATGTTAACTCTGACTTCTCTCCACAGACGCTGCCAGACCTGCTGAGCTTTTCCAGCAATTTCTGTTTTTGTTTCTGATTTCCAGCAACCGCAGTTCTTTCAGTTTTTACAATCCAACAGCAACCTTTGTGCAGTGCGCACACTAGAATCCCTTTCCCTAACACCTTGATAAGTTTAAGATAATTGTGACTTTAATGCCTAGATGGGATTCGCCGGGAGGTGTATGATCGATCCAGGAATAAGCTGAGCTTTAAAGAAGGTCAGCTTCAAATCCTCTGCAGTGCTTCATCTCAACATTTCTGGTCGAGAACTATCACTGACTCCTTACTCTAAGGTAAGCCAGTTGTCCTATATTCTCCCTTTCATCACAGCACTGCTCATATACATGCATTCTAAATGCGAGGAACTGAACTGCTCAAAACATGGTAAAACTGAAGCAAACAGCTCTCTCTCTCTAAGCTATACATGTTTCACTTAAGTTTAAAAAAGGTCCCCAGTCCAGAAAGTTCTAACAGAAACCTTGAGTTGTGATTATTTACTTTGCTAGATGGTAATTAAAGTAAACAAAAACCCATTAGGCTCCCAAACACACTCTCACCAATTGTTTTAAAAGGAATAACAACGTGTACAAAAATACTTACAACGTTAATTATTAACTTCAGACACACAAATAACTTAAAATTCAAAACCCAACTATAAAATTGCTGATATTAAAATACATTTAACTCGGATAGTTTATGTCACAATTGTCATTAAAAAAAACCCAACTAGTTTACCCCAGCATACTGTAGGGAAGGAAATCTGCTGCCCTTGTCTGACCTAGTCTATGTTTGACTTCAGACCCACAGTAATGTGGTACACTCTTCACCCTCTCAGATGGCCCAGCAAGCCAATCAGGTTGAGGGCTTGTAGAAATGGGCAACAAATACTGGCCTTGCCTGTGATACCCACGATGCATGAACGAATAAATCAAACTTTCCAAGTGCTTTCAAATGTATTAATGTTCACAGAATGACGGGCTCTTTGGAAACATTCAAAGTAAATGTCATTCAGGAGCAATTTTAACCTACTCCTGTGGGTAGGACAAAAGAGACTAAAATGACAAGACTTGGAAAACTAATGCACTGTACTTGAACTGGACTGATTTCCAGCAGGTTAAGATTACATGGTGAATCAGCAACCTCTTTGTCTTTTAGAGAGCAAAATACACATGTTAAAAATGAACTTCAGAAAGTGGCAGAAAGAGGCAGAGAGAGAGACACTTCAGAATATATGAGCAGTCAAGACTAGATGTTACAAAGGTGACATAAAAGCTAAAAGTTCTGTACTTGAAAGTGCATGGCATTCATAACAAAGTAAATGATTTGATAGCACACATTGCAGTGTATGATTATTGTCTCACAACCATTACAGATAATTAATTGCAGGATGACAAAGGTAGTTTTCTAAATGTTGAGGGGTATATGACATTCAAGAAGAATAAGAAGTTAGGTAAAGGGGGAGGGGGAGCAATGTTAGTCAAAGATGGCAGTGTTGCAATAGCTGGAGATGAACTCTGGCCAGGAGATGAGGATGTAAAATCAGTTTGCGTGCAGATGAGAAATAATAGGGGGAAATCAAATCACTCGTTGAAATGACCTACAAGACCCTGAACAGTAACAAAATACACAAGAATTGGGTGTTTGTGATAAAGGGATGACAATAGACACAGCTGATTGTTGTCTGCATATAAACTGAAAAATCATAACGGTAATAGAAATCTCAATGAGGAGCTAATGGAGTGCTTTTAAGATTTTTCAAGTTTCTTAGAATAGCACATTCCAGAACTGTCCAGCGAGCCAGATACACTACTCTAGCTGGATACAGTATTGTGGAATGTGATAGTGGTAATTATTATCTCCAGAATAAATGCAATGCAGGGGTGGTACAGTACCTCACAGCGTCAGGGACCCGGGTTCAATTCCACCCTCAGGTGACTGTCTGTATGGATGTTGCACATTCTCCCCATGTCTGCGTGCGTTCCCTCCGGGTGCTCCGGTTTCTTCCCACAGTCCAAAGGTGTGCAGATTAGGTGGGTTGGCCATGCTATTTTGTCCATAGTGTCCAGGCATATGCAGGTTTAGGGGATTAGTCAAGGGAAATGGAGGTTTATAGGGTAGGGTGGGAGGGGCGGTAGGTCTGGAGGGTGCTGTTTGGAGGGTCAGTATGGACTCGATGGGCCAAATGGTCTGCTTCCACACTGTCGGGAATTTCAGGAGCAGCAACCATAACATTATGGAATTTTACATCTAGTTTGGAAAGGAAAAGAGTGGTTCTAAGACCACTGTGTTAAACTGAGATGAAGGCTACTCGGTGAGTATGAAATTGGAGCTAGCTGAAGTGAACTGGGTAATAAAGGCTGGGAGATCAATCAGGATAGAAGCAATGGCAGACAAATAAAGGGAATATTTCGGACAAATTCGAAAAGAAGACCCACTTTCCATGACGAGCTAATGTATACGAGGAAAACATTTGAAGTAGTATAGCCAAAACAAACTGCCTGCCATGTAAAAAGAAAGACTTGCATTGCTGTAGCTGCTTTCCAGGTCAGAACTTTCCAAGATACTTCAGAGCCTGCAAAGTGCTTGAGAATCGTATTCCACTGTCCTACTTCAAAAATAGTGCCATTGGACCTTCAGTGTCACTTGAGGGTAGACAGGGTTCAATTAAGCTGGTGTGAATAATGGCACACCCAGCTGTGCAGTGCTCCCTCAGTGCTGCAGGGGTGTCTCTACTCTTTTGTACTCAGCTCTGTGAAGTGGACTCGCACAAGCTCTGAATCAGATGCCAGACAGCGACCCACTTGGAGTGCGGCTGGTGCCAAAACACTTCCCAAATATAGCCCAAATCAAATCTGATCTGCTATGATGTCCGTAAAAGGTGTGAGGTGCATGCAGCTACAAAGGGAAAGCGCGTCTTGCACTTACTATTTTTTTTCCTGAATGTTAACACGTATCAGCAGAAGATATACCTGCGTGGAGCGGAATCCGCCACCATAGTTCCTTTGTTCTGTTAGCCATTTTGCAATGGTGCCCGCGTAGTGGAGGTCTTCCATAAGTAAGGCCTGAAGCAACGCGTATGAAGTGGCCTCGACTGTTATAGCTGAGGCTCGGGGGACCTTGCCTAGTTGGCTTTCACTGATGTATAACAATTCTTCGTCAGCTCTCCAGTGACGTGTTCCATTTTCTATTTTTGCAGTTCAAAACACAAACAGGTCAGAATTACTACCTGCAAATCAGAAGGCAGGTTAACTCATAGAATCTTTACAGTGTTGAAGCAGGACATTTGGGCCTTTTGAGTCCTCACCAACCCTCCGAAGAGCATCCCTGCCAGACCCAACCGCCTACCCTATACCCAATACCCTGCATTTCCCATAGCTAATCCATTTAGCCTACACTGTGGACAATTTAGTAGGGCCAACACACTTAACCTGCACAGCTTTGGACCATGGGAGGAAGCCTGGACGAAAACCACACAGATACGGGGAGAATGTGCAAACTCCACACAGACAGTTGCCTGAGGCTGGAATTGAACCTAAGTCCCTGGTGCTGTGAGGCAGCAGTGCTAACCACTGAGCCATCATACAATAGAGAAGGACAGTAATAATGGTTCGACATTGCTGGCTACACTATTCCAAATTGGATATAATTGGGATTAAAAATGGGACTGGAAATAGGTTGCTAGAGGGAATGTGTTAGGATGGGTGTGGCATCTTGTGCTATTGCTTAATGTTGATGGTGGAAAAAAGTTCTTCAAAATGTATCTGAGGAACAAGTTTAACCTTTATTTAGAAAGGCAGAGATGAATCAAGGACAGTTAGCTGGATTTGTTAATAAAAGGCCTCATGAAACTAACTCAATAGAAACTTTTTTGAGGCATTACTAAGGAGGATCGATCTCAACAGCCTATTTGTTGCACCCTGAGTGGATTTTACAAGGTCCCTTACAGCAGATTCATTAGAAAAGTTAAAATCCACTGGATCCAAGAACAATGGACAGTGAAATTAGATCAGTGGCAAGAAGCAATGTGTTCTTGCTGAATGATGTCTTGAATGTTCTTGTGAATAGATGTCTGCTTCCAGTAGGGTCTCAGGAGGTTCAATCCTGTGTCCCATACTTATTGCCATGTGCATTAATGATTTAGGTGTAAGTGACTGAAATAATTCATCTGTTGCTCATACTGAGGAGGAAATATATATCAAGTGCGACAGTCAGGATTCAATCTGGACCAGCATGACACAATTTCTTTGAAGAATGAAACAAAAGAGTAAAAGGGAATACTGAGAGGTGTCGAGAAGCTGATGTACCTCGAAGTGCATGTCTTCAGGTCCTGAAGGTAAGAGGGCAGGTATATAAGATATTTCAGAAGGCATACAGGATCTTACTAAGAAGGGATGAAGAGCAAGGTACCTAGACTGGGGAAATGTTGCTCATTTTCTGCTTGGGAACTGTACAGCCATCCGGACTCAATGGCAAGTTCAACAATTTTAAGGCTTGAGGCACCTTCTCCCATGCCCTTACCCCAACCCCTGCACACCAGGCCTTGTTATCACATGGTCTGATATTACATACCACCCACTGTTAGCCACTATTGTCCACTAATTGCTATTCATTCCTCAAGGCTGATCATTATCCACTGCTCTGTCTGTCCAACTGTTCTCTCTCTTTGGGCTCTGTTTCCACCTATCGTTCAATCTTTACCCCCTCATGCACCCCCCCATCACCATATCGTCTGCATAAAAACTAAAAACTTTTCCAAGCTACCATCAGTTCTGAGGAAGGGTCGCTGGAGCCGAAATGTTAAGGCTGATTTCTCTCCGCAGATGTTGCTAGACCTGCTGAGCTTTTCCATCAATTTCTGTTTTTGTTTCTGATTTCCAGAAACTTTTCTTTCCGCTTTTATTCAGGTATGAAGATATACTTTCCACACCCATTGACCCATAGAGGAGTTCCCTCTCCTCTATGGGTCAATGGGTGTGGAAAGTGACTTAATTGAGGTATGTAATATAGAAGGTAAAATCACCATAGTCCTGCAGGATATTAGGTTTCTCTCTCACTAGGAGAGATGACTGGAGGTGATTTAACCTGAGGGTCACAACACCTCAGGTGAGGGGAGGATGTTGAGAAGGAGAGTTCTTCATTGTAACCTCTCAGGCACCTCAGTAGAATGGAAAAGAAGGAGCCACTCTCAATAGGACAGGGATTGTAACCAGGGGACATAGGTTCAAAGCATTTTGTAGGATGATTCGAGCAGGAATTGGGAAAAATATTTTCCGTTCCGATGGTGCTGGGCCTCTGGAACTCCCTGCCTGAAATGGCGAGAAAGGTTGATAACCCGAACTGTCCTGAAAAACACATGAATATGTTCTTACGATGGCATAATCTCTAAGGCTACAGACGAAAGTTTGCAAAGTTGGATTTAGTTAGTGAGACCTTCTTCAGCTTCCTTTCATGTGACAAATTGCTAATATTTTAGATAAAGATGTTAACATCTGACTGGATATGGAATTTGAGAAAAGCTACGTGCTGTGATATAAAAGTTTGTTGACTGTTTAGATAGAACCTGTTTTGTGGGAATGGACAAAGCCAGAGCGAATCCATGCATCTGCATATACTTTACCATCCTATGCGTTCTTTGTGATCCAATCATCTTAATAACATTATTTATGACATACTTTTGCATAGGGCTAAAAGACAACATGCAATGTGACTTGAAGAACAAAATGCTCCTCATTCAATATTTCCCATCAGCTCCTACACCAGGATTGATTTTAACTGCTCACCTTTATCATAAATTTCAATTGCTTTCAGTTTGGCATTTGCCGCAAATGCCTCCGAACTCTTAGGGTCCACCAAGGCAAGAGCATATGCAGTGATGGCCAGTACATAGGGTCGCTTAATATTGGCAAGTTCATTTGAAAGGTACTTAAAAGCCCTTTTAATGCTGTCTTTCTGAAAGTACAAAACATTAAGATAGAATTGTGAAGAAGTAGATAGTCATAAACATTTTTCACCATGGGAATGCTTTCTCTTGGCAGAGACTTTGTGTTCACATTAGTATCCTGCAAAGTACGCTTAAAGTGGATGCTTCCTTTGTCTCTCTGATTCCATAATGCTGCCTGCCAGCACCTTCCATTCCGCAATCAGCTCATAAGATGTACATTGGTTACACTGGGGAAACGGCACAGTGGATCTGAAAATTATAGAGTCAGAAGTGTACAGTACAGAAACAGAACCTTTGGTGCAACTCGTCCATGCCGACCAGATATTCTAAATTCATCAAGTCCCATTTGCCAGCATTTGGCCCATATCCCTCTAAACCCTTCCTGTTCGTGTACCCACCCAGATGCCTTTTAAATGTTGTAATTGTACCAGCCTCCACCACTTCCTCTGGCAGCTCATTCCATACACACATCACCCTCTGTGTGCAAACGTTGCCCCTTGGGTCCCTTTTAAATCTTTCCCCTCTCCCCTTAAAGCTACACCCTCTGGCTTTCGACTCCCGTACCTTGGGAAAAAGACCTTGACTATTCACCCTACCCATGCCTCTCATGATTTTATAAACTTCTATAAGGTCACCCCTCAGCCTCCGATGCTCCGGGGAAAATAAACCCAGCCTGTTCAGCCTCTCCCTATAGCTCAAAACCTCCAACCCTGGCAACATCCTTGTAAATATTTTCTGAACCCTTTCAAGTTTCACAATGTCTTTCCTACAGTGGGGAAACCATAATTGAATGCAGAATTCTAAAAGTGGCTTAACCAATGTCCTCTACAGCTGAAACATGACCTCCCAACTCCTGTACTCAATACACAGACCAATGAATGCAAACACACCAAACACCTTCTTCACTGCCCTGTCAAGGAACTATGAACATTCCGCCCAAGTTCTCTTTGTTTGGCATCACTCGCTAGGACCTTACCATTCATTAAGTGTATAAGTCCTGCCCTGATTTGCCTTTCCAAAATGCAGCACTTCACATTTATCTAAATTAAACTCTGTCTGCAGAGCATCTCTCAGCATCCCCTATGCCACTCTCCCGAGGCAACACAACTATGTATATGAATTTGAGAGAAGCAGACAAGGTTGTGGAGAGAATATTCTGCTGAGAGCTGAGAGCTGAGAGAGAGAGAGAGAGGCAGAGGGAGAGAGAGAGAGAGACAGACAGACAGACAAAGAAATATCCTTGGACAACCGTCATTTTCATGTGTATGTTGGTGCATGAGAAGCATTCTCAAAAGGTAAAGAAAGGCTAACAGGAAAGCACTGCAGATGCCATTCTGTAAACAAGTGAGTTGCGTGGATTCGAGATAACAAGGTGTAGAGCTGGATGAACACAGCAGGCCAAGCAGCATCAGAGGAGCAGGAAGGCTGATGTTTCAGGCGTAGACCCTTCTTCAGAAAAAAAAAATGCATTGTTGCGTGGATTCAGTCACTTACATCGACACTGCAAGGACTGTCGAAGATTGACCAAGTGTGACAAAAGGCTCACACTGCACAACTGATTACAGTGTTTGGAGAATGAGCAGTTAAGGTGAAAATTTGGGAAATCTATCCCAGGCCTTATTTTTCAAAATTCATTGACAGGACACATATGTTACTGACTAGGCCAGCATTTATTGCCGAGAGGACAGTTAAAGGTCAACCACACTGCTGTGGGTCTAGAGTGACATATAGGCCTGGCCAGGTGAGGCCAGCAGTTTCCTTCCCTAAAGGGCATTAGTGAACCAGATGGATTTGTCACCAATAATTGAGAACAAATTCATGGGCATTATGGGACTTGTAATTCAGACTTTTGTTGAATTCAAACTCCACCAACTACCACAGCAGGATTTGAACCCAGGTGCACAGATCATTACCTGGGTCCTCTAGGTTAATAGACGAGCAATAATACCAGTAGGCCACTGCCTCCCCTTTTTGTAGCTATTACATAGGAAGAGAAGGCATGTCAATTGTTAAATAGGATCTGTTTTATGAATCTTCATGCTTTCTCTAAGGTGTTTAGATTTTAATATTTATTCATCCAAAGGACGTGAGCATCATAGACTAGGATAGCACTTATCGTCCATCCCCAAAGGCCTTTGGGAAGTTGGTGGTGAGCCATCTTCTTGAACCACCTCTGTCCATTGGATGTAGGTACAGCCACAGTGTTGTCAGAAAAGGAGTTCAGGATGGTGAAGGAACACTGGCACAGTTCCAAGTCACGATGATGTGTGATTTGGAAGGGTGTTCACACGTATTTGCCACTCTTGTTCTTCTTGATGGTAGAGCTCAGGGGTTTGAAACATGCTGCTGAAGGAACCTTACTAAGTTACTGCCGAGCGTCTAACAGATGGTACACACTGCGATCTGTGTGTACTGATTTTGAAGGGAATGAATATTGAAAGCGATGGTTAGGTGCTAATTAAGCAGCTGATTTTTCATGGATAGTGTCAAGATTTTTGAGTGTCATTGGAGGTGCACTCATCACAGGTAAGTAGGAATATTCCATCACATTCTTGACTTTATGTCTTGTAAGTGGCTCAGTGGTTAGCACTGCTGCCTCACAGCGCCAGGGATCCAGGTTTGATTGCAGCTTCAGGTGACTGTCTGTGTGGAGTTTGCACGTTCTCCCCGTGTCTACGTGGGTTTCCTCCGGCTGCTCTGGTTTCCTCCCACAGTCCAAAGATGTGTAGGTTTGGTGAATTGGCTGTGCTAAATTGCCCATAGTGTCTAGGGTGGGGAATGGAAGGATAGGGTAGGGGGTGGGTCTGGGTGGCATGCTCTTCGGCGGGTCAGTGTGGACTTAATGGGCTGAATGGCCTGCTTCCACACTGTAGGGATTCTATGATTCTAGGTGTTGGAAAGGCTCTGGGGAGTGAGGTGATGAGTTACTCATTGCCTCAGACCTGCTCCTGTAGCTAAGGTGACTGCTCCAGTTCAGCACTGATCAATGGTAAGATTCAGGATGTTGAGAGTGAGGGTTTCAATGATAGTAATGTCACTGGAAGCCAAGAGAAAATTGTTGGAGTCGTTTTACTGTACAGAAATCACAGGTACATAGCTGCCTACAATATTTAACTATTTACGAGTTTGGTGATGTATAGAATACAGCATACTCTAGAAAGTAACTGATAAGAATGTTGTTTAGTAAAATAATAGCAGTATTCACTTTCTGAAAACTTTAGAACTAATGTGCAATAATATTTTTAAATATCGAGATGGTCCATTGGAATAATTTGTAGCTGTGAAGTCAATGTCCTGAAAGGAGATTTGGAGACAGTTTAGAACAGGAAGCAGAACCGCTACCTCCCAGGTTGTGTCACAATCAGAGTTGAAATTAAGCTGGAACATCCCTTCTCCCCACATTTTATCTGCAATTGATCTCCATTTACATCACTACAACAAAGACACAAGTGAAAAATGGTTAAATGGAAAATATGGGTAAATGACTCTTACCACTTCCTGCTCTTTTTCAAGCTCCAATGTAAAGGAAGGCAAGGAGTGTTGCAATGCTATGGTAACAAAAGCTGTCAAGGAAATTTTGTTTTCTACTCCGCCAATTCCACCCTGAAATAGACAAATCAGAATAGAGTGCAGTTTAGATGAGTGATGAAGTCCACTTCCCTGATTGTTAATATTTTATCATAATATGTTAGGACACACATTCACAACCACATTCACAATTCCCCACATTGGTCTCCAAGTGTTCTCCAGGAGGAGAGATTGAATAAATCTATTATAGAGTATGCATTAAGCTATGTTCAGCTCTTACAAATGGGAGGTGGTCACATTGAAACATATGCATTGTTTTAAGGCCTTGATAGAGGAAGCTGTGCAGAAGCTGTGGTCAGACAGAACAAGACCTAGTCTTCATAATCTCCAGGATTCGGGTCAGACATTTGGATCACAGCACTGTGAACCTTCTGAATTTTCAATTCCAGACAGCAGTGGGTGCTCAGTTGAGAAGTGCTTCAAAAACTGAGATTTTAGAATTTGGTGGAATAAACATTTCTAGGACTGGCTCAGGGAAGGAGAGTTCCGGTCAAAGATGAGCCACGATCTTAATAACTAGTTGAGCTGGCTGAAAGGAATGATATAACCTACCCCTGGCTAGTCTGCTCTGTGTCCAGTGTTGTGTATTGTTTCAGACCAACCCTGGCTGTATGTTCTGAGTGCTTAATATTAATTCAGTGAATGTGTTACCATATAATAGTTGGAGCTAAACAGGTATGGATACTGATGAGGAAATTGCTCCCAGCAGCACAACAATTTTCCAGGACAAAGATAGATTGCCATGGAATTCAGTCCAGAAAGGCTTGACAACAATTATTACTCATTTGAGGTTGGTTATCTGAATAAAGCACTGCGTATTGTTTAATGAATCACAATGAATATGTGAGTGCACTTTTAAGAGTCCTGCTCATTACATTCATCACTGCTTCATGGCCTGAGGGGATGACAAATGCTAAATCCATCCTACCTCAGATTACTTGAAGCATGATAGCTTACTATAAGCAGTTGCTTTGTTGTAACCTAATAATTTATACCTGGCCCGGACACTTATGTGCCTATAAATATAAAGTTTGCATATAACAGTAAGCTGCAGTAAATGTTTGTTGAATTCTTCAATACCAGGCTATCCAACCTCAGTTCCTTGTTGTAATGGATGTCATTGCTGCATCAGGTAAAACACCTTACTGGAGGTAAACTCACGCACCAACAGAGGAGTCAGGAGACAGGGCATAGTTGGGAATCAATAGGCTTGGTAGAGAATTGATGTAGCTATGACAACCTGGATTTTTTCTGCGAATAACCAATAAGTGTGACCATAGCAGCTATCACATTACTCCTGGATTTGAAATCTCACAGGAACTGAGTGCAGGTAGAATGCAACTCAGACTATCTATCTGGAAAATGAAGGGATTGAGTTCCGACACTATCCTGCTGGATTTACAGCCCCCAGAAGTTTTAATCCTCTGTTGAAATTGGTGGAGACTGACAGCGAGGTTGGAAAAGCAGATAAAGATGGCGGCAGATGTAAATCAATGTAAAAGTTCACATAACCTGCATTTCTCTGTGTATCACCGGATGGGGATCGATAAAGTATCCGGTTGACTTCTGATCTTTAACTAAATACAAGGCAGATTGTTGAATGTGCTCTTCATTAACCTGAATCTGAGTCCGAACAATCGAGAGTATCTTAACTACAAAAGCTGTTAGCCTGAGATGTGAGACATTAAAGAGAAACAGAAAGATCATTCAGAATGTGTTCAAAGCTGCATTGTTTAATTATTCTGTTGCAAGTAAACTCAAAACCAGAATCTTAAACATTCCTCTCTGTGATGATACCGTGCCTTTAAGAGACGCGTTCTGTTTTGTTTCTCTTGCAGAGGTGGTGCCAAAATGTCTCCTTCAGACAGGGAGTTGGAGCTTTGAGTTCTACCCTGGGCATTTTTTACAAAGACAAAAGAATCATGAGTGGGTTGGGTCAGGCTCACACAAACCCAAAAGGATTTTGGTTTTGTTTTCAGTTAGTTGGCAGTTTTTGCTGGCTACTGGAGCTGAAAGCTTGAATTCACTGCTGCTGCTCTGAAGCCTTTGACAGAGAGACTTTGTCTCAAAAATCAAGAGGGCAGACTGCTTCTTATGGTTTTTGTTCTACTGGTCTGGAGACAGACTGGTCTGAGACTAACAACAGTGTTGCTGTATTGCTTTTGTCAAGGGTGTATTTATGGGATGCTTCCTGTATGGGAACCATTGATGATTAGTGGTTAAATATTACATTATCTTTTTAAGTGTTTCAATCAAGAAAAGTTATGCTAATTCTTCAGTATTTGAACTGAGAGTTGTATTGAAAGTTACAAACTCAGTGCCAGAAGGATCGCAGATGCTGTATTTGAAGACATCTTAGACATGGTGTTGAGCTCTCCTAAACTACAGGGTTACAGATCAAGTGCTGAAATTTGGGATTTGGCTGGATGGTTCTTACATTGTTGGCACAGACGAGATATAATGAATTTGTTTCTTTATATGCCACAAATCTCTCTATGTTTCTGTCCCTGATGGGAACATCTGGGAACACTTTCAGAAACATTTGCCAGGGGCTACTGTACCCACTTAATCCCTGGTTGAGTACATTTAAATATAATTTTTTTTCAAAATAGATGCTGTCATTAATACAATAATTCAAAGGTTGATGTCAAATGATGTGCAAACCTATGGAAGAGGAGGTGATGGCTTGGTGGTACTAGCTCTAGACTATTAATCTGGAGACCCAGGTAACATTATGGGAATGTTGCTTCAAATCCCACCATGGCAGATGGTGGAATCTGAATTCAATAATAAAAGTAAATCGGGATTAAGAGTCTAATGATGACCATGAAACTGTTCTGATTGTCAGAAAAATCCTTTTGGTTCACTGATGACCTTTAGGGAAGGATATCTGCCATCCTCACCTAGTCTGGTCTACAAGTGATTCCGGATCCACAGCAATCGGATGACTACCCTTTGTGATGGGCAATAAATACAAGTCTAGCCAGCAAGGACCACATCCCGTGAATGAATTTTTAAAAAGTCACTTGAAATCTACGATCACCTACTTCAATTTCAATCCCAATTCATAGATTATGAAATTTGATCTGGGACAGAACAAGTGTCTATCATCTGACTGCATGTTATTCAAGGGTACTCAAGTTAATTCACACTGAATTTCAGACACTGAGTGAAATTAACAATTACATTTGTTTAGTGAAATGAATGGGAAACATGTCAAACCCACCATGTACTGCTGGGGCGGTTTAGCCATGCTCCATAGGAACCATCTTTCTTTTTGAACTCCAGTATTCTATTGTACCCTAGAAATAAAATGTCATATTTAACACACACTCTAAACTAATAATGGCATCAAGCTTTTCCTTTTTCTATTTTAAGCAGGTTCTTAGGAACCTATGCATTAAGGGACAGTTATTCAGAATTTACTTAATTGTTGTAATATATGAGGGTAGATTGGCACTTGCAGTCTGCTCTGAATTTGCCACCATCATTGCTGCAAATATAACAGCAACCTGTATTTTTTTTAAAATTTGTCTGTTTGGGAATTCAGAACAGTGGGAATGGATGTTAGGGCAGTTGTATGCTCCTCCTGTAGAATGTGGGAGGTAAGGGTCACCACTAGTGTCCCCACTGACTTCATCTGCGGGAAGTGCACCCAACTCCAGCTCCTCGGAAACCGCGTTAGGGAACTGGAGCTGGAGCTGGATGAACTTCGGATCATTCGGGAGGCTGAGGGGGTAATTGGGAGGAGTTACGGGGAGGTAGTCACACCTCAGGTACAGGAAAAAAGTAGATGGGTTACAGTCAGGGGACAGAAAGGGAACAGGCAGACAGTGCAGGGATCCCCTGTGGCCATTCCCCTCAAAAACAAGTATACCGTTTTGGATACTGTTGGGGGGGACGACTTACCAGGGGTAAGCCATGGGGTACAGGTCTCTGGCACAGAGTCTGTCCCTGTTGCTCAGAAGGGAAGGGGGGAGAGGAGGAGAGCATTAGTCATTGGGGACTCCATAGTTAGGGGGACAGATAGGAGATTCTGTGGGAACGAGAGAGACTCGCGGTTGGTGTGTTGCCTCCCAGGTGCCAGGGTCCATGATGTCTCAGATCGTGTTTTCGGGATCCTTAAGGGGGAGGGGGAGCAGCCCCAAGTTGTGGTCCACATAGGCACCAACGACATAGGTAGGAAAAGGGATGGGGACATAAGGCAGAAATTCAAGGAGCTAGGGTGGAAGCTTAGAGCTAGAACAAACAGAGTTGTTATCTCTGGTTTGTTACCCGTGCCACGTGCTAGCGAGGCGAGGAATAGGGAGAGAGAGCAGTTGAACACATGGCTACAGGGATGGTGCAGGAGGGAGGGATTCAGATACATGGATAATTGGGGCTCATTCTGGGGTAGGTGGGACCTCTACAAACGGGATGGTCTACACCTGAACCAGAGGGGTACCAATATCCTGGGGGGGAAATTTGCTAATGCTGTTCAGGAGGGTTTAAACTAATTCAACAGGGGGGTTGGAACCTGAATTGTAGCTCCAGTGTACAGGAAGTTGAGAGTAGTGAGGTCATAAATAAGGTTTCAAGGTTGCAGGAGTGTACCAGCAGGCAGGAAGGTGGTTTGAAATGTGTCTACTTCAATGCCAGGAGCATCCAGAATAAGGTGGGTGAACTTGCAGCATGGGTTGGTACCTGGGACTTCGATGTTGTGGCCATTTCGGAGACATGGATAGAGCAGGGACAGGAATGGTTGTTGCAGGTTCCGGGGTTTAGATGTTTCAGTAAGATCAGGGAAGGTGGGAAAAGAGGGGGAGGTGTGGCATTGTTAGTCAAGGACAGTATTATGGTGGCAGAAAGGACATTTGATGACAACTCGTCTACTGAGGTAGTATGGGCTGAGGTTAGAACCAAGAAAGGAGAGGTCACCCTGTTGGGAGTTTTCTATAGGCCTCCGAAAAGTTCCAGAGATGTAGAGGAAAAGATTGCAAAGATGATTCTGTTTCGGAGCGAAAGTAACAGGGTAGTTGTTATGGGGGACTTTAACTTTCCAAATATTGACTGGAAACGCTATAGTTCGAGTACTTCAGATGGGTCAGTTTTTGTCCAATGTGTGCAGGAGGGTTTCCTGACACAGTATGTAGATAGGCCAACAAGAGGCGAGGCCACATTGGATTTGGTACTGGGTAATGAACCAGGCCAGGTGTTAGATTTAGAGGTAGGAGAGCACTTTGGTGATAGTGACCACAATTCGGTTACGTTTACTTTAGCGATGGAAAGGGATCGGTATATAAAGCAGGGCAAGAGTTATAGCTGGGGGAAAGGCAATTATGAGGTGATGAGGCAAGATTTAGGATGCATAAGATGGAGAAGGAAACTGCAGGGGCTGGGCACAATTGAAATGTGGAGCTTGTTCAAGGAACAGCTACTGCGTGTCCTTGAGAAGTATGTACCTGTCAGGCAGGGAGGAAGTGGTGGAGCGAGGGAACCGTGGTTTACTAAAGAAGTTGAATCTCTTGTCAAGAGGAAGAAGGAGGCTTATGTAGAGATGAGGTGTGAAGGCTCAGTGAGGGCGCTTGAGAGTTACAAGTTAGCCAGGAAGGACCTAAAGAGAGAGCTAAGAAGAGCCAGGAGGGGACATGAGAAGTCTTTAGCAGGTAGGATCAAGGAAAACTCTAAAGCTTTCTATAGGTATGTCAGGAATAAAAGAATGACTAGAGTAAGATTGGGGCCGGTCAAGGACAGTAGTGGGAAGTTGTGCGTGGAGTCCAAAGAGATAGGAAAGGTGCTAAATGAATATTTTTCGTCAGTATTCACACAGGAAAAAGACAATGTAGTCGAGGAGAATACTGAGATACAGTCTATTAGACTAGACGGGATTGAGGTTCATAAGGAGGAGGTGTTAGCAATTCTGGAAGGTGTGAAAATAGATAAGTCCCCTGGGCCGGATGGGATTTATCCTAGGATTCTCTGGGAAGCTAGAGAGGAGATTGCAGAGCCTTTGGCTTTGATCTTTATGTCGTCATTGTCTTCAGGAATAGTGCCAGAAGACTGGAGACTAGCAAATGTTGTCCCCTTGTTCAAGAAGGGGAGTAGAGACAACCCTGGTAATTATAGACCAGTGAGCCTTACTTCAGTTGTGGGTAAAGTGTTGGAAAGGATTAAAAGAGATAGGATTTATAATCATCTTGAAAGGAATAATTTGATTAGGGATAGTCAACACGGTTTTGTGAAGGGTAGGTCGTGCCTCACAAACCTTATTGAGTTCTTCGAGAAGGTGACCAAACAGGAAGATGAGGGTAAAGCGGTTGATGTGGTGTATTTGGATTTCAGTAAAGTGTTTGATAAGGTTCCCCATGGTAGGCTATTGCAGAAAATACGGAGGCATGGGATTGAGGGTGATTTAGCGGTTTGGATCAGAAATTGGCTAGCTGTAAGAAGACAGAGAGTGGTGGTTGATGGGAAATGGTCATCCTGGAGTTCAGTTACTAGTGGTGTACCTCAAGGATCTGTTTTGGGGCCACTGCTGTTTGTCATTTTTATAAATGACCTGGATGAGGGCGTAGAAGGATGGGTTAGTAAATTTGCAGATGACACCAAAGTCGGTGGAATTGTGGATAGTGCGGAAGGATGTTGCAGGTTACAGAGGGACATAGATAAGCTGCAGAGCTGGGCTGAGAGGTGGCAAATGGAGTTTAATGCGGAAAAGTGTGAGGTGATTCACTTTGGAAGGAGTAACAGGAATACAGAGTACTGGGCTAATGGTAAGATTCTTGGTAGTGTGGATGAGCAGAAAGATCTCGGTGTCCATGTGTATAGATCACTGAAAGTTGCCACCCAGGTTGATAGCGTTGTTAAGAAGGCGTACAGTATGTTAGGTTTTATTGGTGGAGGGATTGAGTTTCGGAGCCATGAGGTCATGTTGCAGCTGTACAAAACTCTGGTGTGGCCGCACTTGGAGTATTGCGTACAGTTCTGGTCACCGCATTATAGGAAGGATGTGGAAGCATTGGAAAGGGTGCAGAGGAGATTTACCAAGATGTTGCCTGGTATGGAGGGAAGGTCTTATGAGGAAAGGCTGAGGGTTTTGAGGCTGTTTTCGTCAGAGAGAAGAAGGTTAAGAGGTGACTTGATAGAGACATACAAGATGATCAGAGGATTAGATAGGGTGGACAGTGGGAGCCTTTTTCCTCGGATGGTGATGGCTAGCACGAGGGGACATAGCTTTAAATTGAGGGGTGATAGATATAGGACAGATGTCAGAGGTAGGTTCTTTACTCAGAGAGTAGTAAGGGCGTGGAATGCCCTGCCTGCAAAAATAGTAGACTCGCCCACTTTAAGGGCATTTAAATGGTCATTGGATAAACATATGGATGATAATAGAACAGTGTAGGTTAGATGGGCTTCAGATTGGTTTCACAGGTCGGCGCAACATCGAGGGCCGAAGGGCCTGTACTGTGCTGTAATGTTCTATGTTCTATGTTCTATGTTCTATGATGTGCTATTAATTAAAAGGACAGCTGACCTGAATCTCAACTTCTATGCCAGTAATCCTTAATGCTCCCATGCAACCAAAGAACATCTTTGGGCCTTAAACTGAAAGTTTTCAGTTCCAAAGAATTGCAGATTTTCACTTTGATTTGTTGAATGGTGTTTTTATTTACCCATTCAGGCTTGAAATTTAACGCATCAGGCCTAATACCATATTCAGAAGCCCAATTCTAATTGAGTATAGGAGTTTGGAAGTCATGTTGAGGATGTACAGGACATTGGTGAGGCTTCTTCTGGGGTACTATGTCCAGTTCTGGTCACCCAGTTACAGAGAGGATATTTTTAAACTGGAAAGGGTTCAGAACAGATATACCAGAATATTGCTAGGAATGGAGGGTTTGAGTTATAAGGAAAGGCTGGATAGGCTGGGACTTTTTTCACTGGAGTATAGGAGGTTGAGGAGCAACCTTTCAGAGGTTTATAAAATCATGAGGGGTGTATATAGGGTTAACAGTAGGTGTCTCTTCCCTAGGATTGGGGATTTCAAGGCTGGGGAACACATTTTTAAGGTGAGAGGAGAGAGATTTAAGAAAGATATGACAGGCAAATATTTTGACAGAGAGGGTGGTTCGTGTGCAGAATGAATGTCCTGAGGAAGTGTTGGATGTGGGCACAGTTGTAACATTTAAAACACACTTGCATAAGTACATGAATAGGAAATGTTCGGAGGGATATGGGTCAGGAGCAGGCAGTTGGGAATAGTTTAGTTTGGGATTATGTTCGGCATGGACTGGTTGAAGTGTCTGTTTCTTTACTGTATGACACTATGAATCTATAAATATGAGTGCTTACTCTAGCTAAAATATAAATATAACCATTTTAGTTAAACATCCAAAATGTGCCTTTCGGACATGAGTAGTGTAGACTCCACCTGATTCAATATGACGAATGGCTTCATCTTTCCTTTCAGCTTTCAGGTTGAGCCACTGCTCGCTCTTATCTAGATATCTAACAGCAAATACAGTCGGTGACATGTACATTGATGTTTGCTCGGCGCACCCCTTGGGCTGTCTAATGAGCAGGTCGATTCCCTCTGGTGTTAAACAGTTCTCGACTGTTTCCCCCATCATTTCACCTAAAAAAAAGAATCAGAATGGAATCAGAAAGAAGCATGGTTAATCACTGAGGGCCAGAGGTCTTTCTAAAGACACCATTGAGGACAAGCAGGCGATTTGATTGGCATGAATTAAACAGTGGTGGTTCCTGAATTTGCTCTCAGCAGCAGTCACGTGCACCACCTACAAAATGCGTGGCTGTAATTCCCAAAGGCTCCACTTTTGAAAGCATCTGTCAGACCTTTGAACTCCACAGCCTGGAAAGACAAGAGGAGCCTATGTATAAGAACAGCACTGTTGGCAAGCTCCCCTCCAAGTCACACTACGGCATGACTATGAAATGTATCAGTGCTCTTTCACTGCCGCTGGGTCAAATTCCTAAGGAACTCCTTCCTTAAACCTCTCTGGTTATTCTACACATCGACCACACAGCAGTTCCTGAAGGTGGCTCACCATCATCTTACGAAAGGCAATTTTTTTCTTTTTAACAGCTCAGAACCAGGCATCTCAATCTATGCTGACTAAGTTTCCTAAACTGAACTAGCCATATCCCTCAAAACCTTTCCTATTCATGTACCTGCCCAAATGCCTTTTAAATATTGTAATTGTACCCACCTCTGCCACTTCCTCTGGCAGTTCATTCCATGTAGATACCATCCTTTTTTTAAATCTTTCCCCCCTCGCATTAAACCTATGCCCTCGAGTTTTGAATTCCCCTACCCTGGGGAAAAGACCTTGGCTATCCACCCTATCCATGCCCCTTATGATTTTATAAACCTCTATGAGGTGACCCCTCAGCCTCCTACTCCACAGGGGGGAAAAAAAGTCCCAGCCTACCCAGCCTCTCCTCATAGCTCAAACCTTTCAGTCTCAGTAACATCCTTGTAAATCTTTTTTGCACCCAAATTATAAATAGGCAATAAACATTGGCCTTCCTAATGACCCTTATATGCCAGGGATCTGCAAGTGTTGAAAAATAGTAACAATTGTAGATCTTATCAACTGGAGGCACGACATAGAAATGTTGCAGTTTTGAGTGGTTTTGAGCAGGATATAAAACACATAATGTTTTCCAAACACGATATACCATTCTTTTCCTCCCCAGCATCTGTATCATGTTTTTGCTTTCAGCTAAAGTATAATTATTCTTCTGTTAGCATCTACTCCGGCCCTACACTTCCTTTTTTCTCCACAACCATTATCACTCCCATTTGCTCTGTAACTCCTGTGATCTTTAATCTCCCTCATCCACTGACCTTTCCCTCACCTTCTCTTTCGTTCCACTTTTTCGTGCCCATCTTTTACACCAGCGCAAACCCTTCACTTTTTAACCGCCCTTCAGTTCTGAGGAAGAGTCATAATTGGGCTCACAACATTAACTCTGTATCTCTCCACACAGATGCTGCAAGGCCGATTGAGTTTGTCCAGCACTCTACGGTTTTAGTTACAAGCTAATATGTTTTGGGAAAGTACGAACTACAATGGGGAAGGATGCTTCAGGAAAGTTGACGTAATCTTCATTGGTAGTAACAGGAAAATCTTACCCGATGATAACCAATTTGCAGATTTCCCTCTTCAAAAGAAAAAAGTGTTGTTTACCTCTTGCACGAATGTAAAGGTAGGAGTTGGTGTCTGGAACCATGTTAGAAGGTATATTTTCAAAAATCTCATAGGCACTCTTCCCTAATGATAATGAAAAAGATAAACAATTTCAGAAATATGGTCATAATGCAGCTTAGAGGACGTGATTTCCTTTTCTTGAGGCGAGGTTCCAGATGAGGACCTGAAGATCTAGAGCAGCCCCCACCCATGATCTCCCGCCACAAGAGTTGGTGGCTCAGCGGCGCCGCTGGAGCCAGTGGACACAGCAGGAATTGCATTCCAAGGAAAGGATTCTGTTGAGGCACAACACCATCCCAACCAGGTAAGAGAGAGCTGAAGGCTCTTGGCAGGTGGAGGAGGCAGCAGCTTTGCTGCCAGGGTGATGGGGCAGTGTCAATGGGTTAGGTGAGATTCCATGGGCCAAAGCATGTGCCGACAGTACGCTCCCTCTGAAACCCGAGCGAAGCTGCCAGTGCTTACCTGACAGTCTTCCCCTGTGGAACATGGCCACTCACAATTAGTGGCTAAACTTGCCACTGAAGTGGCTCACAGGGAAGATGTCTGGCAGCTGGGATCAAGCCAGGGATATAACAGCTTTGTATCCTCCTCCTGTGTGCCCAGGGCTGTCATTTGGCAGCCCATTCCGAGAATACTGGCAACATTCATTCAGCCTGATGAACACCTCATTGACTCTTAAATGACAACTTTAACACAGTGGATGTGCCATTAGCCAGAGAGATGCATTTCTGTTCGACTGTGGAGTAAAGTGATTTGTTACATATGCCCAACGCTCACCATGTGGATTCACGAGAATGCTTCTTTCTTCTGTTTTCATCACCCCTTCTCCCTAAATCAGCAAAAGAACGGGCGCAAGTGAGTGGTGCAGAAATGTTGGTGCGACATAACATAGACCTCGTAACCTCTAGCACTGCAACCTTGGCAAAAGTGACTTGAAATGCAAAAGTTACTTATGCTAACTGGTCAACACTGGCTTCTGGTCCAGCAAAACCTAAATTTTAATGCTCTCATAACTCCTTTAAATCCCTTCACAGCCTTGCACTTACCTTTATTTCTGTATTTCCCCCCCCGGCCGACTCCTATGAACACCCAGTGGCACACCCCATCTGTAAAATAATCTCAGCCTTTCGCCAATTCTGGCCTCTTGTATGTCCCTGATTTTGACTGCTCCATCACTGACTGAAGTTCTCTGCTTTAGAGGTTTCTTTGGAAATTTCTTTGCATTGTTACCTCTTGCCTTAAGATGTTCCTTCCGACTCCTAAGTGACAAAGCATTCAATCACCTGTCCTGGTGTACCCTTATGAGGGTCAGTGTCAAAGTTAGGCTTTTAACCTCCTTATGAGGAACTGCCAGAGTCCTTTGAATGTGATGGTTGACCTGAGGGTCACCACACCTCAGGAGAAGCGGCAAAAATGAGGAAGGGAGTCCTTCAGGGTAACCTCACCAGTGTGGGAATTAAACCCTTGCTACTGATATCAATTGCACTGCTATGGCGATGGTGCTGTATAAAGTTGGGTTATTGGGTATTTCTTTCACATCTGTTGTGATTATTCATTCTTTCAGCATTTTTGCAGTGTGTCATCTTATTTATCAGTTATGCGGCAAATCTAATACTTCACGGTGAAAATACAGTGTGAATTATATGTTACATAAATGTGTACTTTCTTGGAAGGGTGGCAAGTTAGATAAATCAATTTTGTTGCTGATCACTTTGAAATGCGCCAAAGAAATCTCATTCTTGCATCAGCACCTCAAGACACCAATGTTCAGATGTCACTATGAATTAAATTTAAGTGAGCATTATTATTTAAGGCTGTGTAGGGGCTGATGGGTTGTTGGTGAGTTACAGTGTAACTGAAATGTTCACATGTTTAGGTTTCCAATTGATTCTTCAGTGAAGATGCCACTGTAAGTGTGTAAGAATGAATGGGATTATGGTCCTATGATGCTGCTTGGCCTGCTGTGTTCATCCAGCCCTGCACTTTGTTGTCTTGGATTATGGTATTGATAGTTGCAAAACACTCTCATAGAACATGTTCATAAATAAAAATCAGAAAACACTCTTGGAACTCAACAATTCAGGCAGGATTGGACAGGCCACAAATGTAAACATTTCAGTACAAGCACCTTGCGTAATGACACTTTCCAGTTTGTTTCAGATTCTCATATCTATGTTGATTTTGGGACGAGGAATACAAATAAAGACTTGCACGTAGAAGGTGACCTTTATGACCTCAGGGCACTCCATTGTCTATCACAGTCTAATGGTATTTTGAACTGCAGGCACTGGTTTGAGGCAGGGAAAAGTGGCAGCTAGCCTGTGCAGTGCGACCACGAATGTTCACCAATACGTCAACCCCCCACCTCAGCTGATAGATGCATTATACTGTATATAGCTGTAATGTAACTTTTCCTTCATTCCTCTATTCTGTAACTAAGAATTGAACCCAGGTATCTCTGTACCTAAGATGGCACTATAAACGGTGGCCCACAAACTTTTCGCTGGGTTAATTTGAGTACATATGACAATAAAGCTAATTCAATTCAATTCAATTTAGCAGCATACTCTGCATTAGAACCTGCAATTACACAGTAACAAGTGACGGGTAAAACACTGTGGGGATACTGTGGTGGAACATTAACTCTGTTTCTCTCTCCACAGATGCTGCCAGGCCTGCTGAGTTCCTCCAGCATTCTCTGAGTTCCTTTCAGAGTTCCACACGATATTGCTTTCATATAAAAAAATGAACAATTGCTGCTCACCACCACTTTGAGGTTCTTTGTAATGGCGTCACTTATCAACTCAGAGCTGCTGTATGCCACCACAGAAATTGGAATGGTGCCGATGGCTAGTGGGACGACAGAGAAGTAGATAGGGTAGGCGGAGTTTGCTCCAACGATTACAGTTCTTGCATTTTTCTTGCCTGTGGCAGGACTGCAAAGGGAATCCACACGCTTCATGTATATCTTGATCTGTTTGCAATATAAATGTCACAGGGTTAATGTCAATAAAGCGAAACAAAAACTACCATGCATGCTCTGAATAAAGATATTGACTCACCATGTTTGCAAAGAGACTGAAAGCCAATTGCTCGCTGTGCCAACTGGGATTGGTAAAAGGTGACGTTGTCACCATAGTCTTACCCAAGCTGTGGAGCCACACTTTTGAGAGAAAGAGATGATTGGGGTTGTGGCTTAACTGAGACTCAGCATGCCTCAGGTGAAGGGACAGGGTGAGAAGGAAAGCCCTTTGTGATAACCTCAGCTGGTGCAGCAATTGAACCCAACCCTGTATTACAAAGTAGCTGCTTAACCAACTGAGCTGACCAACCATGCCACCATTCTTCCAATGTCAGCTATTTCAGACTGAGGAATCCTAGACCCCCGTGGTGCTGTCTCCAGGTTAAAGCCTGTTGAGTCCATATTTCACAAGCTACTTCGGGCCACCACTATTGAAAAGCATGAGTTACCCTTTTATGTCAGCGTTTCCAACCGATTGGTGAAAGGTATGTTCTTAAATTTGCAATCTGTCTCTCCTGCTGCCTTGTCACTTTGTTACACTTCGAAACCCTGCCTAGGCATTTTGCTGGTGCCTTTTATGTAGCCTTGGGGATGTCAGAAAGCACTTCACAGCCAAGGGAGCACTTTTAAGATGCAGTCACTTTTTAACGTGGGCAACACTGCCAGCAATTTGATTTTAGACAACATGACGATGACCTGCTAATCTGCTTCGGTGAGGTTGCCTTTCAAATGTGCCAACCTGTGACACCAACTACGAGTTCCCCTCCAAGCCACATACCATTCAGGCTGGCAATGGCCTTGCCATTCCTCGCTGGAGTCAAAATCCTGGAATTCCCTTCCTAACAGCATTGTGAATGCACCTACATCACTGGGAATGCAACGATTCTAGAAGATGGCTCATTCCCACCTTCTCCACCATAACCAGGGACTTTCCATGCACCCACATCCCAAAGGCAAACAAAACTGTACCTCGGATATTGGGAAGAACACTCGTATCCTTTGGGGAATAGCTCCATTGGACGTTAATGTATTCTGTCCAGTTGCCTTTTTAGTGAAATCCTCTCCCATTCTGCACCACCCCCACCCTCAGATATGTGAGTTTATTTAACACTGTAACATTTCTGACATCAAACCTTGTTCAAAGACATTCCCCAGCCTTGCGAACCTCCACTGTTTTCCAGTGAAGCAATGCCTCAATTTAAACAAAAATTCTTATGTTTGTTTCCCAATCCCTTTATACCTTGAGCCTAACCGATCTATATAATCTTTGTTAGCCTCACACTCTTTGTGCTTTATGTGCTCCATCAATTTTGGGCTCTGGAGCAGACTCAGTGTTAATCTCTCCACCATCAGTGTCATCAGCTCTCTATGGCCTAAGCTCAGCCAACCTAACTCCCTTAAGACGTTTGTTAAAGTCAACTTTTTCTGACTAGGTTTTTGGTCATCTACCCTAAAAGCTCCCTCATCCGTGCAGTGCCAGATTTTGCTTTAAGCAAATGCAGCAAGTTCAAGTAAATCAAGTACAAAATATTTTTAACAGAAGCAAAGAATTGCTGAAGAAAGTCAAATGCATGGTCACAAAGTTAACGGAGGGACACAAAGTATCGCTGGGCTCGAATTATTAACTCCGTTTTCTCCCTACAGATGTTACCAAACCTGATGAGTTTCTCCAACACTCTCTTTTTGATTCAGATTTCCAGCATTAACTGTTCTTTGTGTTTAGCATACAAGTTATCTTTTTTGATTTATACATCCAATTTATTACCAAGTGATTGCCTGTTAATATATGTGAATATTTAATATTGGCATGAGAAATTTCATTTTGGTAAGTTATCTGTCACTTTAAAAATGTAACTATTGATGCTCAGCAGATCTTTAAGGAAATTTCTCACATATTTCTGTAGGAATGTAGGACATTTGATCCTCGAGCCTGCTCCACCATTCAATAAGATCATGAGTGATTTGGTTGCAGTCTCAGCTCCACTTTCCTGTTTGACCCCAATAGCCTCTTGTCAATCAAAAATCTCTTGATTAATTTAAAAAGTCCATCCAACTCGGATTTGAGTACATTTAACACCCATCCTCCAATACCACTTGGAGAACAAAATTTCAATTGCTAGCTGAAATAACTCCACAGAGGCTGGTATCCCATCACCAAATCATCCTTTGCTTACACATGGAGAATCCTTGACACCAATCTAGCTTCCTCAGAGCCAGCTCTCAGAGTGAACAGAATTTCTGACACTCCTGTTTATACCTGTCAGCCAGGGTTCCCTGATTTGGGCCAGGTTAACAGCCCCAATCGGGGAACTCATATTCTATGAGGTCTATCTGGCTGACCTCGTTACAACCACTACACTAAACACTCTAAAGCAGAAAGATAAAACTCCTCATCTCTGTCTGGAAACATTTTATTAATTATTTTGCTCCTTAATCTTCCAGAAGAGGAAACAGGAAACATCTTCCTGGTATCCACTCTATCCAATTCCCTCAGGATCTTATATGTTTCAGTAAGATCAGGTCTTGTTTTTCTAAACTTCATTGAGACAGGTCCAAGCTGTCAAACCTTTCTCATAAGACAAGCCGTTCAGCCTATGAATGACTTGAGTGGACTTTCTCCAAAATGTTTCAAAAGCAACTGTATTTTCTCTAATAAGGCAACCAAGTGCGTACACAGGTACTCTACATAGGCTCACTAATGTCCTGTACATCTGAAATAAAGACTCTCTATTTTTATATCGTACTGTCTTGCCAACATTCCATTTTCATTCCTAATCACTATGTTGTTCCTGCATTACTGACTTTATTTGATTCAAGAACTGGGACACTGAGATCCCTCTGCACCATTCAGTCCTGCAAACTCTCTCTATTTAAATAAACTGATTTTCTGTTCTTGCCAAAATGGACATGTTCACATTTTCCCCATATTTTAGCCCATCTGCAAATTTTCCCCTCGCAATTTATCTGTCTATATCACTTTGTGGACTCTCTAACTCTCTTTAGAACTTAGTCTCTCCCATTTCATGGTATCATCAGCAAACTTGGTGAAAATACTGTTAGCCCCTATACCCAAAGTCAATGATACAGTTTGTAATTTGGCATTGATTCCTCATTGAACTCCATTAGTCACAACTTTCCAACATAAAAGAAGACCCAGCCATTGTTATTCTCTGCTTCCTGTTGGTAAACCAATTTTTATCCACACTCATGAATTAATATTCATACCCCTACACCAATGTGTTCTTATCTTATGCAGCACCATTTGATGAAATGGCTTTTGGAAGTTCAACACAAGAAATGTACTGAATTGCCCAGTCTTCTGTGAAAATTGTCAAAAGAACTCAAATAGATTAGTTAAACATGACTTGCCCTACAAAAAGCCATGTTGGTTCTACTTGTTATAGCCTACTTCCTAATGGACTATAACATGTTCCCTAAAACAAATGATCAGGTAACTCTCCTACAGATTCCTGCTTTCCACCACCATGTTTTTTTTGAATAAAGTTGTTACATTTTCTATTTTCCCACCAGCTGCAACCCTGGAATCCAAGGAAATTTGGAAGTTTACAACCAATGCACCTACTATCTGTGCTGCCACTTCCTTTAAGGCTTCTGGATGTAGATAATTTGAGCCTGGGGACTTATCAGGCTTGAGTTTTCCTCCAACTTTTGTTTTTATAGAATCCCTATGGTGCGAAAACAGGCCCTTTGGCCCAAAAAGCCTACACTGACCCTCAGAGCATCCCACCCCCCTATAACCCATCTAATCCACACATCCCTGAACACTGCGGGCAATTTTGTACTAAGGCCAATCTACCTAGCCTGCACAGCTTTGGACTGTGGGAGGAAACCGGAGCACCCGGAGGAAACCCATGCAGACATGGGGAGAACATGCAAACTTCACGCAGATAGTTGCCTGAGGGTGGAATTGAACGTGGGTCCCTGGCACTGTGAGGCAGTGTGCTAACCACTGAGCCACCATGCTGCCCCTATATGTAAATGTGGAAGCAGGCCATTTTGCCTATCGAGTCCACATCAAAGCTTCAAAGAGCATCCCACCCAATCCCTGTAACTCTGCATTTCCTATGAATAGCCTCCATAGCCTGCACATCACTGGACACTATGGGCAATTTAGCATGGCCAATCCACCTTAACCTGCACATCTTTGGACTGTGGGAGGAAACCCATGCAGACACGGGGAAAATGTGCAAACTCCACACAGGTTCTGGTGGTGGTAATCATTCCTTATCACCTCTTGATTTTCGATTGCTCTTAGAAAGTTTTCAAAGTCTTTTAACATGAAAACAAATGCAAAAAAAACTCTTAACCATTTCTTTGTCTTTTATTACCAGTTTCCTAGATTAACTCTCTCTTGATGAATAATACCAACATTAGTTATGTGTTTCCTAGTTAAATATTTGTAGAAGCTCTGACTGTCTTTTTTATATTACTTGCTAGCTTTCTCTCAGTCTGCTTTCTACCCCTTTCTAATTTATTTTTAGTAATCCTTTGCTGGTTCTTAAAGAGTATCAACACCTCTGATCCTCACAGGCTTTTTACAGTGTTTCTTTAAATTTTGTGTTCTCAATTTTATTATTTTATGCTTCTCAAAGACTGTTCCTTTCTCACCGTGATAAATCCTGCTAAGAGTTTTTAATTATCTCTTCAAAAGTCTACCACTCCCCTACCTTGTAACTTACTTTCCTCATTATTTTAGCCAGCTCTGCCTTCATATCTATATTGATGCCTATGTATAGCTTGTCGTGAGAGTCATGTGTGGGATTCCCAAACATCATTTGCTTTATTTATGAATGAGCAGGGATTAGGGAAGCTATTTAGAGTTTGCCAGTACATTTGAACAGAACAGTCTCACATCATTACATCTATGTCTACATGACTATCATATTGATGCTAATAATTACTTTTCGTTTCCAGTCTTACCTCAACTTCCTCAGGAAGGTAATTGTACAATATTGCTCTAACTTCCAATTGTTCATTTCTTTTGACCGAATATGGTAGCCTCAAATATATAAAAAATGGCCGGAAGACCTTCATTTTCTTTGGCTCCGCAATACAAAAACCTGGAAGTTAACAAATGCATGTCAAAATGTATGTGCTAATGTTTGGCGATCGTTGTGAATGCCACTTCTGTTATGCATACACTGCTGGAAGGAATGTTCTTACTCATTAGTTAGTGATGCTTCATCGTGCGCTGTTTTTCAGTGCTAGCTTACCAAATACCATCTTACGTCAGGATCAAAGCAAAGGAGAAGCACTTTACATTGGTGGAAATTGCTGTTTTAGAAATAATCCCTTGCTGAAACTAATTAATAATATTAATAAAATAACTAATTAATATTTACACTTGATGTGGACTACAATGCATTAAGCCAAAACTCTAAACATTTTCCAGATATTTGCCCCAATATTGGACTCTTTTACAGTCCATATGTCTGCACAATTGATGTTGACTTGCATTCAAACTTATGAAAACTTCAGCCCTCTCTGAAGTGGGAAATTAGTGACAACAAATTGCCAATCCCTTTTACATTGCCGAAAATTAATATGGGTCAGATTGGATATCTATGTTTCACGTTTTTCTCCTTAAGATAAATACTACAATTGTCAAAGATCTCATACATGCAATGTGCATCCAATTTATAGAATCATAGAATCCATACAGTGTGGAAGCAGACCATTTGGCCTGTTGAGTTCAAATCAACCTTCCAAGCAGCATCCCACCTAGACTGACCTCCCCCCACCCTGTTCTTGTAACCCTTCATTTCCCATGGCTACCTCACCTAGCCTACACATCCCTGGACACTATGGGCAATCCACCCTAACTTGTGCAACTTTGGGCTGTGGGAGGAAACCGATGCACCCAGATGAAACCCACGCAGACACAGTGAGAATGTGCAAACTCCACACAGACAGTCGCCTGTGGGTGGATTTGAACCTGAGTCCCTGGCGCTGTGAGGCAGCAGTGTTAACCACTGAGCCACCCTACTCATTAATAAATTATTTGCAATGGAATGTAAAACCTCGCTGTAGACCAGACAGGGATGAGTCGAGCAGAGTCCAACATTGAGCACATTAATTCAACACTGACACCATTTCACAAGAGTATGTCAGAGCAGCAGTATTCTTTACCTTTGTTCTTAAACATGCCAACTGCCTGAATTTCCCATGTTGTTATGGAATCTGGAAGGTTAAGTGTAAACCTGGAAATACATGAGAATATATATGAGTATCTGAATGGCTGGATAAGGGATGGCAAATGGTGCTGCATAAGTGTAGATTGTCACTGCTGGAGGTTAAAACTCTCATAATTGCTGTGCAGTATTGAGCAGAATTTAGTAAGCAATTCTTTTGAATTTAAGATTGAACAGGGTCTCTCTCTCTCCCCCGAAGAGGAAGGTGGAAACGAACTGACTTTTAGCAGTGGATGATACCTATTTCCTGAATTTACAGATGGAGCAGGCATCAGTTATGTGAGCACTCCTAGGTATTTTTAAGCAATGACACAGCTCTGGGGTAGATGGGATCTGATCCCACACCTTCTGGCCCAGAGGGAAGCCATGGCCACTGCATCACAATAACCCTCCTGTGGGAACTTATACAATGATAACAATGACAAATTAGAGCGAATCTTTTAGAATGAGCTGCCTCAGACAAGAACTTGTGAAAAATTAATCAACCCTTGAAAGCCTGAGTCAGTACTGGTGACCTGAATGACAAGGAGTCCAAATACAAAGAGATGTTGGCATATAATAAGTGCTAAATGCTATCATGATACATAGTGTAGACAGGAAGAGACTTTTGCCCTTGATGGAGGGATCAGTTACATGGGAGCATAGATTTAAATTAAAAGGCAAATGTATTAGAGGAAAAACAGATTGGCTGTCTGTTATTCATCCAGAGTGTGGTAGGTATCTGGAACTCACAGCTTGTAAGAGTGGTTGAGGCAGAAAACCTCAATGTTTAAGAAGTATCTAGAGATGCACTTGCAATGCCAAGGCATATAAGACTACAGGCTGAATGCGATTAGAATAGTTAGGCAGTTATTTTTGATCGCTGCAGATGCGATGGGCCGAATGGCATTTTTCTGTGATCTAGACCCCAAAACTCTGTGCATCGCTGGGGGTTCAGGAGGGGCTGAGGAGGAACATGTGGAACTGAAATGGAATCTAGGAGGCAGCATCAAACTGAAGGCCTTTGAAAGGGAAAAGTTCAAGAGGATATTGGGTTCTTGCTCCCCCATTTCCCCACCCAACAGCAGTGATATTAAAAGTTCCAGATCTGAATATCAGTGATGAGAAATGGGGGAGCTTTAAAGGTATACGTGATCTAACTTGAGGAAGGTGGAGGGGCAGGAATGGTGGCCAATGGTTCAGGTCAGGACAGTGAGAAATAGCTGTCATGGACAGCATGAATATGAGTGAATTGAAGAATCCTGTGTATTAATTTATTTTAAATTATTTGTTGGGAGCAGCTGACAAAATATTTCATACCGACATATATGTTCATATGTTGTATTCCATCATGTAAATTGAAATGTGAATGGACAGAAATAAGTTATATTATGATTAAATATTAATTCCTTTGATGACTAGGCTACAATTAAACTGAAACTAATCGACCAATCAGCTTTGGAGCAATGGCACAAAATACAGTAACTGAAGTGATTAGAAACTTGCAACAAACCAGATAAGATTTGCAAGAAATGCATATTTCTGTAGGTTTACAGAGAATGTAACGCACAGAAACACATCATTTGTCTACACCATTGTTCATGCTCTGTGGAATCCTCTTCCCAATGTTCTTCAGCTAACAGGGTGATCACGTATTCTTTGCACCTTTCACTTCCACTTGTTTACCCTCTCACTGAGTTCTGTGACCAAAGGCATATGTGACCCATCATATCATGATATCCTTCATGGTTGGAGCAAAGAGGTTGGTCCTGAATCCACCCTAACCAGAACGGTGATGGTACCATCTGTTGTGACATGTGTTTATTCCACTGCCACCAATTTGATTGCCTTGTATTGACCCCACCACTACCCCCATGCTACCCCCTCACCCTAATCATGTTTTCAATGCACTTACCCATGCAGGTTACAGTGCCAAATACTGAATTGTGATGGCAGAGGCTTCAAATTTCTTTCTAATGCATAGCTAAACAAGAATCTCTCGTTTTTATCAGCTTGCAAGTCAATACTCACCATTTTTGGCCGCATTATGAACCACATTCCTTGACTACATGCAGACCATCATTATTTTTCTTTCTTTTTCTCATTTTCGACTTGGAACTGTTAGTTGACATTAGGAGTTGAACTTTGAAAAGTAGCTTTTTTTTTCAGAACAGGGAGAGGACAAAAGACAGGTACTTGTTTTTGGGTACTGGCCTGGAAAGATAGTGTAGGCTTATAATGCTCTAAGAACATTGTAGATGAATTAGCACCGAGATGCGGTGATGGTCAGGGAACTCTAGTTGGATGCTGAATTGGCCAATTGAGAGAGCTCCAGTGCTGGCCAGCTGATCGATCACAAGGAATATTGAAAAAAAAGAGAAAACAAAGTCTGAATTTGTTTTCGACTGGGCTTTGAACAGGAGGTAATGTTGCGATGTAAGCTGCTAGACTGCTTCCTTTACTTTGTTCTCTCGAGTTATTCTCCAGTTATTGACTTGTTGAAAGTCCTGAGAAAAGAATCTCAGCATATAAGAAATCAGGAAATGTCTCCAAACATCTGCGGATGCTGTTTGCATTAGCTGGTGACTTTGGAATTCAAGCAAGATACAATCCTACAAGCCTGCAGCACATCCCATCGGGTTTCATGAAGGCTTGGTATCCATCATTGAAATGGTTATCAAACTGGGAACTTATAATTCCTTTATTTGCAAAATATTATCTCTTAACTGTGTCTGTCTGTCAATCGGGGTGAGAGTGGGAGTTAATATTTAAAGAAAATTGAGTTTAGATCCTAAATATTAATGTGGTTGCCTTGTAGTTCATCTGTGTACTGCCAAAGTTATGTTCTTAATAATAAATTGTAAATATTTGCTAAGTCATAAAATGCTGTCCAACATTTGATATTTGTAAAAGTCCAGTTAGGATAAATTGAGCAATTTTGAGGGTCATTAAATGTTTTAATTTCAAAGTGTTGTCAATCCAGTGAAAGTGGGCTGATTTGATCTGGTTTGCTGTCGTTGTGTGGTAACAGCTATGAAGTCCTGGCATAGGACTTGGATCTGGATCTGCTTTCTCAGAGGCAAGGACCACATAACATTCCACTTAATTCGATATCACCTAATGAAACATTTCCCAAAGTTTTTCTGGGATGTCTATGAGTCTCTGGGATGTCTAAGAACATAGTTTAGCCAGCAAAGAACTTGTTAATGAACACTTACTGTTGCAGTGTTGGTTAAACAGTGGAATCACATATAACTGAACTAGCATCATTCATTTTAAACAGTGGCAAGAGGTTAAACTTGCCACCAATTGTGCCTCAGAAACCCACATGTTGAGAAATATTGATCATTAATCTTACTTATTGTCTCCTATCTTTAAATTCGAATAAGTTCTCCATTGCCAGGTCTGTGGGAAGTTGCTGCGAAGACGGACATTGGATTCGTCAAAGAAGTCATCTTCATAATCTCCCACGGCTGAAGAAGAACAGAATGTTCAGTGGTGCAATTTCAAATTTCGGAAAACAGCTCAAGCAAGTTCATTCCACTGAATTTCAAACACAAGTTGCACAACCTTATAAGACAAATAACATAAATGATTTTGGTTTGCAAAAATGGCCCGAGTGGGAGGTACCTGGGGAAACTAGGTTGCATAGTATGTATTTTGGAGCAAATGTTGATTTTTGTGCAACACTGTAAAACATTGAGTAAACAGCCCATAATGCATCTCTCGCAATATTAATTCCATTGACTTCTCAGGCAACATTCCTCAAGGTAACTCACTCAGTTGTGAGGGCATCAATAGGAAATGCAAGTGTCTGTAATGTTCAGCAAATGAGATGGGCCCAGTCCAGTGATTTATTATGATGCCACCTTCTTCCTGAAACCTGGCACAATTCTAATGTTTCCCCACCCTAATTAAAGGTCTTGGCTCTTTTCCTTTTCGTCTTCACAAATAAAGCCTAGGCCTGCTAAACATTGCCAGCCGTATCTGTTCTTACATTGGCACCCAGAGCGTTTGGCTATTGTCTAACATATTGCAATTGCAACAGATTGGTTTCCTTAGTGTTCCTGAATGCCAATTTTGCACCTTGATTACTCTCCAGGATAAACATGGGTAACTCCCATTTAATGGCCTTGTGACAAACACTTACTCCTTCCCACTTCGTTGGCCTTCTGTGAATGGTTCTTCCTCAGTTCCACACCAAAGTCGCAGCAAGTGAGAAACACCTTTCTGCATTCTTCCTCCCTGATACGCTTTGCTCGTTCCTCACAGGTACGCTTCATTGGAATTTGAATAATTCCGTCCTTGCAGCATTTCCTTAGACTGCTGTCTGTATAATGGTTCACTGTAAAAAATAAATAGAGTGGCAAATGAAGTTCTGCACTAGGTATGGTTTTGCAACAGGTTTTGCATTTCAAACTACAGAGAATATCACGCTCACTAGAACTCTGCCTGAATACAAAGGCGTTTCCGTGCGAATCAATGTAACATTAAAAGGCCCAATATATACATACCAACAGATTCAAGAACAGTAAAGAGGAGTATTAATATAGTAGATAAGCTCACACAATGGCATATTGAGCTTTATCAAAAGAAGCTTTGTTCGAGAATAAGGGCGTCCCGCTGAAATTCTAAGGCTATACCTGGAGAATTAAATGAACAGGTTTGGTGGTCTTGCCTACGAAAGGAATTGGTTGCCTTGGGAAAGGTTACAATGAAGATTCAGTGGATTACTAAGTGGGATGAGATGTCAGTCCTGTGAGGAAAGATTGAGTACATTGGCCCTACATACTGAGATTTTGAGAGAGAAAGACTTGGTTAATTGAACCATATCATCCAAACAGGATTTCAGACGATTGATGCTGAACGGCTGTTTCTTGCAGCTCAAGACATAGAGAACATAGTCTTAGGCTAATGGGAGTCCCATTCTGGATGGATCCGAGGTGAAACTTGTTGACTCAGAATGTTGTGAATCTTTGAAATGCTATAGACCACAGGCATGTTGATGCTCTGTCATTGAACATATTCAAAGCTCAAACTAAAAGTTTTGAACATTAAGGACATCAATGAATTTGGTGGTCTGGCACAGAAGTGAGCTTGAGACCAAAGATCAGTCACAATTCCATTAAATGGCACAGCTTGCTCAAGTTGCCTTGAGTCAAACCCTGTTCATATTTCTTATGCTGTCATTGTATTAGCTTGTTTTTTGCAACACAACTTATTTAGCAGAGAATGTCAAATGTTAATGCACTGTGATCCTAAGTGATAAGTTTAATTATTTGTAAAATTTTAAAATGGATGATATCTAATGGATGAGCTGTTATATACCACATCTAATTTTTCTACTCATTAAAGTAAATTGAAGGCAATATTAGGTGCTGTCTTGATGGAAGCACACAAATCTTCTTTCAAGAACACACAAATCATTAACAAAAGTAGGCTATTCTGCCCCTCAAGTCTGCCACACCATTCAAATAATATCACAGCTAATATGATTCGGCCCTCACTGCCACTTTCCATATCCCATAACCATTGACTCAATCTTAAACCAAATAAAAATTGTGTCACTCGGCCTTGAATATATTCAACCAACCAATCTCAACTGCTCTTTGGGAAAAGAGATTCCTATGAGTCTCTGAGAGAGAGAGAGAGAGAAAAAAAAATCTTCTTAAATGGTACGCCTCAATTTTCTAAATTGTATCTGTTGATCGCACAGCCTCCTTCTCATTTTTCTAAAGTCCAAGATACATCAGAACAGCTCTCTTAATGATTCCTCATAAGATTGCATTTTAATCAGTCAATTGAACTCTCTACGAACTGTTTCTAAAGTGATTACACCTTTTCTTCAGTAAGAAGACCTAAACTGTATATATTACTCTAGATGCAGTCTAACTAAAATCCTGAAAAATTGAAAAACTGCAAAAAAATCAAAGCTTCCCTGCTTTTGTATTCAATACACCTCACAAAAAACCACCAATTTTCTACTATAAGAGATAACAAGGTGTAGAGCTGGATGAACACCGCAGGCCAAGCAGCATCAGAGGAGCAGGA